ATTCATCCATCTAGAACTGCATTGTTGCACAAAAGCATATTATGTCTGGGTCCTAAAATTTATAATAAAATACCTAAATGCATACAAGCCTTAAATTTTAACATGTTTAAAAATAAACTCAAACGTTTGTTACATAAGAAATGTTATTATAATATAGAAGATTTTTTAAAAGATAAATTTGACTTGTAATACAATTAACATAATTTTGTTGTACCTGTAACGGTTAATATTGTCCTTTATGTCTTTTTTGCTTATTTAGGTTTGCATGTTTATATATATTTTTTTTCACTACCTACTTTAATATTAAATAATAATTTTAAATATTTGTACGCCAAAACGGCATAACATGTAGCTCATACTCCTAACTTAACACCATTGCATGTACTCTTGTAATATTACTCATGTTAACGCAAATAAAAAATATCTTTATCTTTATCTTATCTAGAAAGAAAAAGGTCTGGCTGGGGTAACGTTACCCCAGCAGAAAATGTTTTTGTGAAATATTTAAAAATCTATAAGCGCAACAAATTTAAAAATGTGCGCAACAATAATAGAAGCCCCACAACTAAGTATTTATAAGATTCAAATGACCATTTTCGACAATATCTGGCCTGGGTAACGCACACTATGATATCTGGCACGTAATTAGGCAAAATTCATTAGATGCGCTGATTGAAGTAGTTTTTAGATCCCTGTGTGGTTTTAATTTGCTGCCAAGAGGTTATGTTAGGAGAAAAATTTAATAACAATAAGGTTTTTGTTTTGAATCAAAAAGGTTATTTGTAACTTTCATATGCATTTATCTATACACATATAAAACGTATAATAAATTTGTTAAAAATTAATTATTGGACTGTGTACAGATAGAAAATATTTCCAACCATAAGGACAACCAACAAAACTCATCAACTCGGTATTTTTCAAATTTTAGTCTGTTCATTTGTTCGTGCATCGCGTAAAATTGATGAAAGCGATGTACATGACTTTTCAACAGACTTCAAAAGAAGAGGAAGAGAGGTCTCAATTCCAATGTATTTTTTTTGTTTGTTACTCGAGTTCTAGAAGACGCCTGTATCAATTCAATTTTTTTTTTATTTGCAAGTGTATTCTCGTCATTTGGTCCCATTGTCATCAGGTCAGGATCTGATGATGGGATCCCAGGGAAACAGAAGAGAACTTTAAAAAATTATATGGGTATTTGTTAATTTTTTATTATTATTTATATATTATTATATAGTATTTAAAACCACTACAATCTGATAAAGGTCTGGAGTAGATTTGTTGATGGAACCTAGAGCCAGCTGAGTTCTCTCCTGGCGAATTTACACCTGTAACCCCGTGTTTGGGTTTGAATTATTTGTTTTGATGAAAATTTTGACTTCTATGCAGTGTTATTGACACTAGGGGTCTGATGATGAAGTAGTACGATAGTTTAGAGAACTCCTTAACGCCCACTTTCAAGTTAGGCTAGTACCTACATTGAGTTAACAGCGCAACTGGCTGGCTAAGAAGTTGGGCATCCTATGGGGGGCGGTGTGGTTATTGACACCAAGACTATTACTTGTGCTCTATAAAGCACCACATTGACTCCATCGTGATACGGTCTTTTATCGGATACATTTCGGAGAGTGTACGGAGGAACTCCACAACTTAATTCCTACTAGTCCATTTCACCACCACACTACCACACCAACGACAAAACTACACCGACATGTGGTAGATGTTCGACTCACTCGCACAAAACGTTTGGCTTTGCGTTTCGTTCTGTAAACCGGTAAGGAATGAAATTCCTTGCCATAGCCTATGTTTCCAGAAGGGTTCGATGGTATAACCCAGGTGTCTTCAAGTTTCGAGTGAATAGGTTACTTATAAGCAGGCGTGCTTCATCACCGGCCACATCATCGCTTACCACCAGGCGAGACGAAGTGGCCAAACGCTGATCTATAGAGTATATAAAAACTCTTATCACGATTTATATATCATTAGAATTAATTTATTTGTGGTCATGCAAACTTAACACCTGAATCGGTTGAAGATATCTGCTTCAAAATTCAGTTTCATACATTGCAAATTAAACTACCACTATAGGGGCTCCAACACAGCAGTTATACGTTATGTCACATACTCCACAACATGTCACGTTACTACTACAACTTTTGTTATAATTTGTTTAAATACGAATGTTGAGTCGGTCTCTAACGTTACAATAGTAGGGGAGCCCACGATGCTAAATTTGGATTTACTTGAGCGTCGTTGGAACCTACTGGATTTTGAAGATATGCTGATAGAAATGGTTCAGTGACAATTTCTTCCACCGCTGGGGGAAGGGGGAATCCACAGATCTTTGAAATTGTTAAGCGTAACTTTTGTTCTAGTGGTCGAGCGTGTCAGATATTGATAGTGTACATGCTCTATGTGTATTTAATAATAAAAAACTCTTAATCTGCCAGTTTGCAAGGTGGGGTTGAATGTTCAGGAAGAGTACAAACGAGAACCCTTTAAAATCCCCCCACTCTTGCAAATCAAGTTGGAATGTTTTCAAACGCACTTCCTTTAGCATGGTATTGACCTACCTTCCCTTAATCTGACGAAACCGACTTTATTTAGTCAGACTTTTTTTTTAAATTTTTTGTCCCCCCCTTCTTATCAGATCGGATATATGGTGGGTATATTTAACATGACACTAGGTTTTCCCCATATGTTAATCTGACGCGCTCGAGTAACTACCGAAATCCCTTCATGGGCTCCCCTACTACAAACTGCTGTGTGCGAGCATTTAAGACATTAGCACAATAGTCTAGCGCTCGTATTAACAAGCTGACAAAAATATTATTCTACCTGTGTCACAGCCGCCAAGTTTTGGGCTATAATGACATTATACTTTCCAATTATCTCTATTATCTTACATTGCATACATATTACCTAAATGTTATATTTATACAAAACGTAGCGGATTCTAAAAGTAAATTGTGTAATAAATAAAATCGCATATTGTGCAATATTATTCATATTTTATATATATAAAGAGTATTCAACAATAATAGCATCCGGTGGCATAACTGCACAACATGTAAATAATGAACATTCCATTTGTATATGGTGTATACAATCCCAATATGAATTATAAAGATATAAATAAAATGTGAGTCATTATTTTAACTTCCTTGATCGTGTGCGTTACCCAGGCCCGATGTTGTCAAAAATGGTCATTCGAATCTTATAGATAATTAGTTGTGCGGCTTCTGTAATTGTTGCGCACATTTTTAAATTTGTTGCGCTTATAGTCTTTTAATTAATTCACAAAACATTTTCTGCTGGGGTAACATTACCCCAGCCAGACCGTTTTCTTTCTAATGGGAATATTTAAATATTTACTAGCTATAAAATTAGTTGTTTAGATGAAGTAAATGTAGTGCCTTATATTGTATTTGTTCTTTTATCCGTTGCGAAGGTATTCTAGATTCTTCTGGGGATTTTGGTTTTGCTAGATCTTTGAAATGGTTAAGCGGATTATTATCATACTTTGTACTTGGCTTCTTAGGAATTAGTTAAAAAATTTCTGCAATAAAAAAACAAAATAATAATAGCTTAAAGCCCACCTAAACTTGGTCGGGTTACCACGGTCATTCACTTCCTAATGACTTCAATCGTATTATCTCATTAATTATCCAATGTACAGAGCTGAAATTTTACTCATATACAACTAAACTAAACAACTAATTATTGACGTAACATTCAGTTCATATACCCAATCCAGTGGCCAAATAACACCGCACGCATCAAGATCGTGCTCGTGAAGAACTCAATATCATCATAACTTATTAAATACTTACAGGATACTAATGAAACTTCACATACATTCGAAGGCAGTTACAAGCTTTAAAATAACGTTGAAAGTAAGTCTTTAGAGCTGAACAAATTTAGACTAATTCCTAAGAAGCCATGTACAAACTATGATAAGAATCCGCCTAACCATTTCAAAGATCTAGCAAAACCAAAAACGTTACCCCAGCAGAATCACGAATAACTTCGCAATCGATGAAAGAACAAATACAAAATAATGCACAACATTTACTTCAACTGGACAACTAATTTTATAGGTAGTAATTATTTAAATATTCCCATTAGAAAGAAAAAAGTTTGGCTGGGGTAACGTTACCCCAGCAGGAAATGTTGTAAAATAATTAAAAACTATAAGTGCAATAAATTAAAAAATGTGCGCAACAATTACAGAAGCCGCACAACTAATTATCTATAAGATTCAAATGACAATTTTCGACAACATCTGGCCTGGGTAACGCACACTCCTTGATTCACAACTTTGACCTATTGAATGTAATTGTATAACTATCATGAGACATACTAAATTAATTAAAAACACCCTTTTACTCGCGTGAAATAATGAGGAAGGCTCTACATTTCGAGTCACGGAGAGACTCTCCGTAATTAGCGGCGGACGCGGCGACGTCGCGCAGCCACATCGGCTTAGGTGTTTTTAAGTAATCTATACTATAGATGTTATACATTTTTTGGTAAAGTTTGGAGTTGTAGTTGTACCTGTGATCCTTCTGCTTCTTGCACTAGACTCAATTGCTATTCTATATGAGTTAATTAATTTAATGGTTAATTAGATCTAAATCTGGCAATTCACAAACAGTATTACTCGAAGTCTATAGTTTTACTCCGTGAGTGTAAAACCATCGAGTAATACCGTTTGTGAAAGTGCAATGTGTACAACAACACTCATAACTCGACAGAATCGAAATGTAACTTCCTTCGCATCCACTCAAAGCGAGCTGAAATTTAGTTTGGCGAATGCGGAACGTCGCGAGCCGTTCGAGGATGCTGGAATGCTAAGGTGTGGATGAACGCCTGTGCCGTGAATTTCACAACGCGGAAGCTCGATCGATTGAACAGTGTGTACCCAACTTTACGGATTTAGCATGAAGTTGAGATATATTACAAATAGTTTGTTTATTGGTCAAAGAGATGACGTTCTGCTAGGGCTGCAGGGAGTGCGCCAGGTCGGCGAGGTGCGCGAGCGTGGAGGAGTTGGCGCGGAGCTGCGCGGCGAGGTCGCCGTGCGCGGCGAGCAGCGCGCGGATGCCGGCGCCGCGCGCGCTCACTGCGCCCGCTCCGTTGCTTTTCTGACCGTTTCCTCCTCCAGCCTCTCTTGTGCTCTCTCCGCTTGTATCTGCTTTCGACGAGTTTACCTGGTATGCGCATTAAATAATAGAGCATTTAATAGAGAATTGGAAGCACGAGTTACAAGATATGCGACAGTAAAGCGTCTTGATCTCGTCAACGTTTACGTTTAGCAATTGTTTGTAACCCAACCCAACCTTAAATTGATTTCTATTTTTGTTTCTAGTTACAGTCTACCATATTATCATCATCATCGCTTACCACCAGGCGAGATAGTGGTCAAACGTCGGCCCATCAGATATGAATAAATAAAATATTACTTGCTGATAGTTTAATCAAAACCAATTATTGTATTTGGCATAAATATGTATGTATACTGTACTGTACCTACATACCTTATCACACATAATTTATTTTAGTCGATTCTGGGTTTATGCTCCATATATTTTTGGGCATTGTACTTTCCTAGCTCATTCCATATTAGAACACACTGTAGTGGTGTTATGTAATTTCATTAAAAATATAAGTTAAACTTCACTATTTTACTAGTTTGGTCCATTGTTTATCTAATATCTTTGGCATTAGACCAGCTATGGTGAAGTTGTATACTTCCTTTGATTAAATAATGTCTAGATAGAGCGTCGCCATACAATACCACCAAAAATGACATTCCAAAACTTGCATGTGTGCGTAGTTTACACGGAGCAGAAATAATACCAGCTACGAGAAAAAATCTCCCATCAAATTTATATCTCCCATAAATATTTGGGTACCTACATGCACCAAAAGGTTAAAAAAATGGAACCATCTCTTTGAATTTGATTTTCAAGTTTTTTTCATTAGACACTTCGTTGATATTTATATTTTGTCATATAAGTAATTATGATTCTTAGCTATGATTTCGTGTACCTTTAACAACTTAAAATCTATAAAATATACATATTAATTAAAATGGTAGGAACCAAAATTTAAAAGCGAAAAGTACTTTACGTTTCGTGATGGATGGCGCTGGGTGTTATTAATAACACCATCTATCGCTAAGTAACGTAACTACTACATAGATACCAATTTGTCATTCGTTGACTTATAAAACAGCAAATAAACGAGTCGAAAAGTGCACCGAGTAAATGAAGGCAGCGCTATGGATTAAATCGTGAGATTTCCAAATAGTAGGTAATTCGTTGACTTGTTTTATATTACATACAGCGCCATCTATACCAATACACACAGCGCCATCTATACCAATATTTTTGTGTTCCCTGAATATCAATTTTTCCAGAATAAAAAGTACCCTATTATTTATTCCGGAATTCTAACTTTATGTCTGCAAAATTTCAAAGCAATCGGTTTAGTAGTTACGGCATGAAAGTGGAAAAAACAAACTCACTTTCCGATTTATAATATTAAGTTAGGAATAAAATCTCACTTGCTTTTGAATTAAAAATCCTTACATAAGTGAGATTTTATTGTCAATATTTCCCTTTTTATAAGAATCATGAGAAGGGAATATTGAAAAATAAATTGGCAACACTGATAAAATATGGCGGCAATTAGATAGGTCAAAAACATAATTTGAATAATGTTATTTTTAATTACTTAGTGATGGATAAGTGACCTGTTTAGTACTTTTAACCGTCATTTATAATTTTAGCACAATTTTATGGAGCAAGTGGCCATCTTTGCAGGGTATTTTGTTTAAAAATTTATTTTGTAGCATGCATGCATGTAGTGACGTCTAAGTGACACGATTGGTACTACTTGACGGGAAAGTGCATTGCAGTAAACAGTTCACTGCAAATTTTTGTGACGCTTTTCGTGAACTGTCACTCCATCTAGACACGATATAATCAAAGTTTACTTCATATGAAAGCTTAGGACGTGTTATAGTACATTTTTATGTTAGAGAAGCATATTTCTGAGTCAAACTTAAAAAAAATCTGTTTCGTGTTACATAAGTCAGCAGCTTTATATCCGCCTTGACACGTCCTTGTAATAAAGTAGTTGAGTACGGCACTGACCACGGCCTGCTCAGTGAGCTGGTGTCGCAGCGTATGCTCTGCGTCCTGTATGCGCGCGGCCAGAGTCAGTAACTTGAGCTCGGCGCTGGAGACGTCCTTGTCCAGTATCTGCGTCTGCAGGTACACTGTCTGCGCCACTTTGTACCTGCAACGAGCGATGCAGCCTACAACTATACGCCCGGTCTACTTGTGCCTCGATATGCATTCACTATAAACTTGATTTATTCACTAAATAACTGATTAGTTCACAGAACAATGGACGTAAATGGTCCGTCTAATGATGTTATATTCAGGGTGTCCTAAAATTCAACGATATAATTTAACCCAGTGATAAGCCTTCTTATGATGAGATGGATCTCTAAGAAAAACGAATACGCAACTTTTTACTAAATAAGAACTTATTTTCACTCGTAAATATTTTAGAGAGTTATTTTTTTATGGCATTTTCCGGTAAACGAGCAGACGGATCACCTGATGGTAAGCAATCGGCGTCGCCCATGGACACCTGGAACGCCAGAGGCGTTAAAAGTGCGTTACCGGCCTTTTGGGGATTAGGAGTTTGAGGATCGTTGGGGATTCAGGGAGAGATTCAGGGATTGGGGAGATTGGGGAAGGGGAGGGTAACTCGGCCTCCGGTAACCTCACTCACACGACGAAACACAACGCAAGCATTGCTTCACGTCGGTTTTCTATGAGGTCGTGGTATCACTCCGGTCGAGCCGGCCCATTCGTGCCGAAGCATGGCTCTCCCACAAAAAGTATTATTATTATTATTTAGTTAGTATTATTTTAGAGTTACTCGAGTTGCCTGCGAACCCTTATTGGTTTTGTTGCAGTAAATCTGACCGTAACAAGAAGGCCTATCACCTGATCAATAGAGAACATGCATTATTTTTTTTTATCTTAAGTTAATCATTTATGTCTTTATAACACAGAAAAATATAGAATAACGCTTGAAAATAGTCAAGTTATTTTTCAAAGTGAAATTAAAAACATTGAATAAAAGAGATCATTTTCTAGTGTGCGTTACCCAGGCCTGGGGGCTTACTCTTGAATCCAATTCCAATCGATCGACATTGGTATTGTGAAATTTCGTACTCTCGAGTTGCAACACTAGCGCCCATTGCATCCGTATTGCGCGGATATTTAATAAACTAAATGGTATTGAGTTTGTCTTTATATTCCGTACTCTGAATGATATTGTAACAGCTACGATTGTGGTTGTATAGTGTTGATATTGAATCGTTATTGAGAGTTTTTTGGATTGAAATTGCATTGACATTGAGATTGGTTTCAAGAGTAAGCACCCTGATGTTGTTGAAAATGGTCATTCGAATCTTATAGATAATTAGTTGTGCGGCTTCTGTAATTGTTGCGCACATTTTTAAATTTGTTGCGCTTATAGTTTTATAATTATTTCACAAAAACATTTCCTGCTGGGGTTACGTTACCCCAGCCAGACCTTCTCCTTTCTAATGGGAATATTTAAATAATTACTAGCTATATAAATAGTAGTCTGGATGAAGTAAATGTTGTGCCTTGTTTAGTATTTGTTCTTTCATCTGTTGCGAAGTTAGTCAAGATTTTGCTGGGGTAACGTTTTTGATTTTGCTAGATCTTTTAATGGTTAAGCGGAATGTTATTTGGTACATGGCTTCTTAGGAATTAGTTCAAATTTGTTGTGCAATAAAAAAACAAAATAATAAATAGCTTAAAGGTGATTTCATTAAATAGAAAAAACACTTCAATTGGTTCTAGCACTCTCAATAAGTGCTCTAAAGACTTACTTTAAACGTTATTTTAAAGCTTGTAACTGCCTTCAAATGTATATGAAGTTTCACTAGTATCCTGTAAGTATTGAACAAATTATGATGATATTGAGTTCTTCACGAGCACGGTCTTGATGCGTGCGGTGTTATTTGGCCACTGGATTGGGTATATGAACTGAATGTTACGTCAATAATTAGTTGTTTAGTTCAGTTGTATATCAGTAAAATTTCAGCTCTGTACATTGGATAATTATTGAGATAATACGATTAGTCATTAGGAAGTGTTCGTTCAAAAAGTTGTATCACATAACTTTGTATATTTATTAATCTCTACAGATTAATAAATATACAAAGTTGTTGAAGGTAGAATGAAATGAATGGAGTAGTCCATTCAACGTATTTACTTTAGTGTCAAATATAATTTCGAATCAACCACACGTCTTTCATTGGAAAATCATCACAAGCAAACTGCAACCTTATCGCCTCAACAAAAAGTGAATGACCGTGGTAATCCGACCAAGTTTAGGTGGTTCCAAAAAAGCGAAAACGCAGAACCTTATACTATCTTTTGAAATGTTTAGAATAAGTATATATAAGTAACTAGCAGCCTGTGCCGGCTTCGCACGGGGTAGACAATTATTTATTCTTGGAAATTTGGATTGTTGTAGTAACATAACTACAATAGTTGGACATATGCTACCGCGGAGTTTTTTGTAGACATTATGATGTTCTTCAATATTGTTGTACATTATTTTGTTCTATCGCTAATAGTTTCGGCAGCGCATTCGACGAAAGATATTTTAAGACTCATTTTTCTATACCTTCGGTAACATTGTTCAAATTCAAAAGGTCCAAAGCGTCGCATAACTCATCTACAAAATTAGCCACTTTCTATGCTTTCCAAAAGATACTACACAAGCATCTTTTAGAAAAATAGTTGGATCTAAAATTATATATAAGGTGTTCTATAATTTTATGCCACGGCTTTAATGGGAGGTAGTGTTATGTTTACAGATTACAATTGTGAAGAAATTTCGTACCCCGGACCAGTTAATTACATACAGTAATTAAGTAAACATTGACTACATTCTGCATAATGTGGTTCACAAATTACGCGCGATGCGTCGCTTAGTCAATGAAAACAATTGCTATCTCTTTCCACGTGTACTGAGAATGAAAACGGAAATCAGCTGACTAGTTCGTCACTATCTAATCTACTAGATACTCAATAGGCAGGCTAACAAGGGTTTTAAAAGTGCAATTACTTACCAGGTACGGCATTCTTCCGAAAAGCTGATGTAGGTAAATAAGATTATAAACTTCCCATCACACTTAAAACAGTTTTTTACACACTCTCCTACTTATCTACAAAACTGTTGCACAAGTCCACCTTCGCGTTGCACACAAATAAAGGCACGCTTCCAAACATGTCATATCACATTTTTAACGTGTCCGTTTCACTTTTACTTTGTTTCGCGTTTGACTCCACAAGTTATTGTCACTATCATCGTAAACTCCGGCGGTATCCCTTGTGCACGCAAGAAGATGACACCGAAAGAACTCTAACACTTCCTCTTCGAGTTCTGATTTGAATTTCGTCGCCTGGTAGTCATTTTTACGTAGCGCGCGCGTATCTCCGACATTAAAACTAACGTGCGGGCAAGCAGGGGTTGACGGGGCTACTGGCGGCCGGGCGGCGCGTGCGACGAGTTCTGCTGGGGTGTGTTGTCTCGTTCTTGAACGCCCCGTCATACGCTGTTGCCATCCTTATCAGACCGCTCGCGCCGGGCGGCTAAGAGCACGCTGCACACCCCCGCGCGCCCGCACCCTCTCCTGCACTCGTCGCACGCGCTGGTCAACGGCCGCCGGGCAGGCGGGGGTTGAGCTACTGATAAGGATGGCAACAGCGTATGACGGGGCGTTCAAGAACGAGACAGCACACCCCAGCCAGCAGAACTCGTCGCACGCGCCGCCCGGCCGCCAGTAGCCCAGTCAACCCCTGCCTGCGCGGACGTTGTTAGTTTCAATGTCGGGGATACGCGCGCGCTACGTAAAAATGACTCCCAGGCGACGAAATTCTAATCAGGAAGAGGAAGTGTTAGAGTTCTTTCGGTGTCATCGTCTTGCGAGCACAAGGGATACTGCCGGAGTTTACGATGATAGAGACAATAACTTGTGGCGTCTTTTAAATCAAACGCGAAACATAGTAAAAGTGAAACGGACGCATTAAGTAATGTGATATGACATGTTTGGAAGCGTGCCTTCATTTGTGTGCAACGCGAAGGTGGACTTGTGCAACAGTTTTGTAGATAAGTAGGTAGAGAGTGTGTAAAAAACTGTTTTAAGTGTGATGGGAAGTTTATAATCTTATTTACCTACATCAGCTTTTCGGAAGAATGCCGTACCTGGTAAGTAATTGCACTTTTAAAACCCTTGTTAGCCTGCCTATTGAGTACCTAGTAGATTAGATAGTGACGAACTAGTCAGCTGATTTCCGTTTTCATTCTCAGTACACGTGGAAAGAGATAGCAATTGTTTTCATTGACTAAGCGACGCATCGCGCGTAATTTGTGAACCACATTATGCAGAATGTAGTCAATGTTTACTTAATTACTGTATGTAATTAACTGGTCCGGGGCACGAAATTTCTTCACAATTGTAATCTGTAAACATAACACTACCTCCCATTAAAGCCGTGGCATAAAATTATAGAACACCTTATATATAACCGACGGAGCTTCCCAACATTTTAAAAAAAGATTCAACTTTGAGAATCTATTCTGTTACAAGGACGATTTTAATGCAGATGCAGAGTTGAATTTTCATGCATCGGCTCACGGAAAGGGGCCATGCGATGGTCTGGGAGGGAATCTTAAACGTTTAGCCGCGCGTGCAAGTCTACAGTTACCTTCAAGTAAAGCAATTGTAACACCGATACGATTATACGAATGGGCAAAATCATCTTTAAAACAAACAGCCATTTACTTCTGTACTAAAAACGATATAGAACGTCAGAGAATGTTTTTGCAACCACAGTTTGCGTCTACAGTTACCATTCCAGGAACCAAAAAGTTTCACAGCTTTATTCCAACAAACAGTGGCCTTCTTGTGAAAAGGACCAGTACTGGTATAGATTCCCACTGTAAAGTTGTAAAATTTACAAAATAAACTAGTTCTTGCGTTGTTACAATGTTGTTTTATTATGATATAATTAAATATACCACAGCAATTATACAAGACATGTTGTTTCCCGCACACCAACCGATCTAAGCAAGCGCCAGATATCACGCCCATTGAGGCGCGTACGTACATTAATCAATCTAACTTCTAAAATAATTGAGATCCCATTTTGAATTTCTTCGTGTATTTTTAATACATTTTAAATTATATATTGATAAAAAAAGAAGAAAAAAAAGTCGAAGTGACTGAAATTCGGGTTTGAAAAGTTTACTTCTGGTTTACGACATGAAAAAAAAATTATTTATATATTTCATTTTGTTGTTATAAAGAATAGTCCTTTTCCAATACGTATCGCTATGTTAAATATTTTATTGTAAATTTGTTAAATTCGAACTATTTTGTTTGTTAAATTTATTTGTTAAAACTACTTACATAAAATTGATATTACAAGTAGGTACGACAAATCTTTAGAAACCCATAACTTGTGAAATATACACAATACAAAAAAAAATATTTTGTATTCACATTCATATCTACTAGAAGTATAAATGGGCTGAATATGATCGATTTTCAGAACATCACTTTTTTTTCCTGTCCACTTCACGTGAAATGCTCCAGGAGAGAGATGTGGCTACAGTTCTGCACCAAGAACTCGCTCACAATCGTAAATACCTGTTTCAAGAACCACCCAAGGAGACTGTACACGTGGGTAATGCTCGAAACCAGATAGATTATATAGCTATCACTAAAAGGTGGTGATCGTGTAGTAGCAGCACTAGTATTTAACCAAATAGACATATTAAGAGAAGATGGGACAAAATATAGGAAGGGACCTATAAAGGTAAAATCAAAAAGAATTATATTGGATGGAATAAGTAAGAATACGGATTTTGTATGGAATTTTAGATTTTTCATATTTCTTTAATTACTTAGGGGTTTTAGTAAAAATAGCTTGTTATTGTCTCAGAACTGTTTTTTTTTTATTAAATATATGTAAAGGTACAACAAATACTTGCTATGTCATGCTTGGGTTATAGTGTACCTATATGTTAAGCAAAAATTAACTAAATTAAATTAAATTATTAAAAAATTATTTTTTTTAAGGAGGGAAAATCATCGAATGTCTTCTCCCGCCTGGGTGAGGCGGGAGGGAGTGTCAGACTCTTACTGACTAAAAACCACCCCGGTCCTTCTCCTGCACGTCGAGCCGGAGCCCCGGTTACCCGTTAGGTTCTCCGCGACAGAGGCAATAAGGTAGATGCCTAATTTTTATTTGAATGTCTGTCTGGTAGATTAATTTAAATCATTAGACACGTATTTTTTATTTTCTTACAGAAACGAATACTTTCGACGATATATTGATTTAAAATGTCACGTGACGTCATTTCTTTGTACATTTTATACGTAGAAATAACGTTTTAGCCCCCGCTCCTAAACTTTGATTCGTTTTATCTAAGTATTGTTTTATTATACGACAAAACAAAAATAAAAAAATACGTGTCTAATATTTTTTCATTACAAAACTTACGGACTTATTAGATTTTTAATTTTCATACCCTGTTGTCATCTCAATTGTGATGATAATGCAAAAAGATTTGGCAGCCTTTTTTTGTTAAATTTTGTTCAACTGACTCCTTCCGTCCTGGGGGACGTACGAGGGAGTGCTAGACAAGTAAAAAGTGAATAGTGAGTAGTGACCAGTCAGCGATGGCGTCGGCGCGCGCGCGTGCGAGCGGCGCGGCGCGCTGCAGCAGCGCGCGGGCGCGGCGCGCCGTCTCCGCCACCGTGATGCGCTCCAGCACGTGGAACTGCTCGTCGTTGTACGTCAGCGAGCGGGTCGCGCGGTCGCGCACCAGGTGCTGCCACGAGTCGCGCAGTCTGCAATACATGTACGGGCACAATGCAGGACCTCTACCCGAGGAGAACAGCTACCGTGTTTGTTCCGTTTCAAGAACTTGAAGCAAGATAGAATTCGGCTACATTATGTATTATGTTTGTGTTGATTGCTTTTTGTATTTTTTAAGATTGTTAAGGACCGTAGTGAAAGCGAAGTATTTATTTGAAGTCAACTATCTATACACAGGTTCTTTTAAAACGGGTAGGTAGTTAATATCAAAAATATTCTATAACAAAAAAGGAATGGTGAAATACAGTTCACGACACTTATCTAACAAAAATGTTACGTTTTGTCTGATAATGTGATATTCGAACGAGCGATCCAATCGAAACATCGGGACGCATACCTGTCCACGAGAGTCTTGGCCTTGACGTGCAGGCGCAGCTCGCTGGGGCAGGGCGCCAGCCGCGCCGCCGCGTCGAACTCAGCGCGCAGCGCGGGCGCCGCGTGCCGCTGCAGCAGCGCGGCCGCCGCGGCGCGCAGCGACCCCGCCTCGGCCGCCACCAGCCCCGCCACGGCGGCCCAGCCCTCGCCCGCGGCCGCGCGGCGCCGGGCGCCAGGTCGAGCGCGCGCGCGGCGGTGTGCGCGAGGTGCGCGTGCTGCAGCAGCTGCGTGGCGCGCGCGGCCACGCGGGCGAGGCGCGCGCCCAGCAGCGCCGTCCAGCGCGCCACGCAGGCGCCGCACAGCACGGACGCCGCGCACAGCGCCTCCACGCGCCGCTTGATGACGTGGCCCACGCTGCACGCCGTCTGCCACAGCGGCGGAGTAGTGGCGCCGCCCCGCCGGCGATCGGCGCCGGGACGGCGGGGCGGCGCGGTCGGGACTCACCTTGGCCTGGCTGGCGTCGTTCTCGACGGACACGATGTTGGGGAACACGGGGAACTTGGGCACGTCGGGCTCCGGAGCCATGCTCACGTTGTTATTGTTCTTATTGAAGAGTATGAGCGGCTCCTCCGCTGTAGTCTCCGGGTACTCCTTACCTGTCGGATATTAACGCGTTCTCTTGTACAATTTACCTCTAATTTATTTGTCTCGAAACTTCCTTGTTTTGTGTTAATTAGATAGATTCGGAACATTTTTTACTGTGTTCAGGATACAGTGTAAATGAAATACTACACATATATGCAAAATAATAATTTTGTACCTTTGTACATACTGTCCCTAAAATTATTTGGAGCAGTGCTCACATATGTTGTTACATCATACGCCTATAAAAACTAATAAAAAGTAACAAGTTAATGTCTTGTTTGTCTTTGTCTCTGAATTGACTTTCCAATGAACAGTCAATAGATGATAAAACAATACCCAAAGTGTTGTCGTCGATAACAGTTTGCATCAACTGATCCTTGTAGAGCAGTATCTGGGACTCAGCGACCACGCTCGTCTGCTCGCAAATGTACGTCTGCAAGTGCTCGTACTTCTCATCCGGCTTTAGGAACACCTGCAAGCATATCATTGCAATGCAATACATCTAATTTACGTGTTTTATACTTTCTAACATCTACAAATAATACAAACGTCAACGACATTTAACTACTACATCTGCTTATGCCTATACATAATATGCAGATGGTTAAAACAATAACAATGAGTGGCGAGGGCGAGTAGAGCTAGGCTGTTACATACTCATTATTTTAAGGACCGCATCCAGCGCAACCTTATCTCACTCTTATGTATTGATGGGTGACGGGGGATTTTTTTTTTTATTGAGTGGATAAAGTTGAAATGATTGAAAGTAGCATAGGCTACATTTTGTTTCTATCTAACCCACCACTTCCCAAAGTAGGAGATGGAAGATAGAACGGAGAATTTCGTATTTCAAGAAACCTAAACTTGGTATTGTGTCGCGGAGAACCTAACGGGTAACCGGGGCTCCGGCTCGACGTGCAGGAGAAGGAACGGGGTGGTTTTTAGTCAGTAAAAGTCTGACACTCCCTTCCGCCTCACCCAGGCGGGAGCAGTCATTCGATGATTTTCCCCACTTAAAAAAAAAAAAAACTTGGTATTGTATTTGTGACCAGCAGAACATCGGGCACCAATTCTTTTTTATCTTTTGTAAACCTCAATATACTACTTTGTCAAGAAAGTACCGGGAAAGGTCAATAATACACAAAATGTCTGTTATTCATCCAAATTTATATTATCACCTTCAAAGTATGCTCCTTTAGAAACGATACACTTGCGCCAACGAATAAACCAAACGCTGCTTTCGGAATTGAGTTCAGTTCACGTCGCGAATTCTCCTTTATGTCTTCTATCGATAGAAAACGGGTCGCCGGGGTCGTGCGGTCCATGGCCCTCTACGGCGCCCCTGTTTGGGCGCCGAACTTGTTGCGGCGTCCTGCTCGGACGCTGCTCATGTCACAGAGGGTCATGGCGATCCGAATGATCCGCGGATACCGCACGATCTCCGGGGAGTCGGCGAACCTCCTTGCCGGATCACCGCCGTGGGATCTGGAGGCGAAGGTGCTCGCGCGCGTGTATCGCATGCGCTCGGAGGCACGTCGCCGGGGCGAAACTCCTCTGCCGCGCCAGATAAGTGCGTGGCGGGATGGGCTCCGGCGCGATCTCATGGCGGAATGGCAGCAACGATTGTCGCAACCGAGGGCTGGGCTCGCTGCCATTGCAGCGGTAAGACCCCTCTTTGAGGAGTGGCTTGAGAGACGCTACGGCGTCCTCACCTACCGCCTGACGCAGGTCCTCACCGGACATGGAAGTTTCGGGAGGTACCTGTGTCTGATGGGGCGGGAGGAAACGCCTGGGTGTTATCACTGCGAGGACCGCCCTGAGGACACGGTGGAACACACCGTAGCGGAATGCCCTGCGTGGGCTGAGCACCGCCGTGCCCTCAGGGAAGTGATCGGCGATGGCGACCTCTCGCGTCCGGGCCTAGTGCAGGCCATGATGCGGAGCGAGGGGGACTGGGATGCCGTCTCCTCCTTTTGCGAAGCAGTCATGCTAGCTAAGGAGGCGGGACGCGTGAGGCAGCGAAACGCTGCCTCCTCGCAACCCAGCCATCGCGAAGGACACACCGGGCGTCGGGGATCGCGGGACGATCTCCGGCCACCGTAAGCGCGGGCCTGCGGACGGCGAGCATGGGTGGCTCCCCGTCCGACCAGAAACAGACCCGAGCGTACGGCGCGTCGCGTACCGTGCGCGCCTCAAAGAGCCATCAGACCACCACAGATGGGGCCCAATAGGGCCGATGCCGATTCGGAGTCGCGGAGAACCTAACGGGTAACCGGGGCTCCGGCTCGACGTGCAGGAAAAGGAACGGGGTGGTTTTTAGTCAGTAAGAGTCTGACACTCCCTTCCGCCTCACCCAGGCGGGAGCAGTCATTCGATGATTTTCCAACATTAAAAAAAAAAAATCGATAGAAAACGGGTGCCACGAAGAGAGTTTAGGAAAAATAAAAACGTCAGCAGGAGCTATCTAGCAATATGGTGGTTGCTGGATGGTAATTGTTGAGTGTTAGGTCAAAAATTCGTTCACAATGATAGCCTTGTGCGAAGGCGCATTGTCGTAGTGCAAAACCAAGATTTTTCTTTCCACAAATCTGGCCTTTTTCGTTGAATTTGTTCTGTTAAACGCCGCATAATATTTTTTATTTACCGTTAGACCTTCCGGTAAGAATTCAGAGTACACAACACCGTGATAGTCAAAGAAAACAGTCAACATGACTTTGACTTGTGATCGACTTTGGTGTGGTTTTTTCGGTTTCGGTTCAGTTGGAAGGCGCCACTCTGAAGTTTGTTGACTAGTTTGCATGTCAAACTCGTAAACCCACGTCTCGTCACCAGTAACAATGCGTTTCATAAATGTTGGGTCCGAACTGAGTCGTTCTAGCATGTCCTCAGCGACTTTTATGCGATTGAGTTTTTGGAGAAAATTCCTTGTCTCGGCTAGTCCCAAAACAGATCTTTTGGGACTAGCCGAGACAAATGATTAGTTAAAATAGTACGGATCGACTCGTGAGATACAGAAAGTTCGGCGGTTATTTTTCTCAGAGTTGATAGGGATTTTCAGTCACTATTTCCTTCACTTTTGCGGTGTTAACTTCAGTTGCAGACGTTGACGGCCTACCGTGAGGCAAATCTTCCATCATATCTCAACCGCTTTTGAACGCTTTGAACCACTAATAAGCACGAGTTTTTGATAAAGTCGATCCACCGTAAGCCTTCTATAACATTTTCAGTGACTCCGAACACGAAATTCCATTGGCGATGCAAAATTTAAGACAAACTCTTTGTTCGATATTTTTGTCCATTATAAAATTCGCAATACACACTATATACAGATGATATCTACTACTAAAACCAGCACTGTATTTAATATAAATAACAGATGCAGCTCAAACTCCGCGCCAAAATAGACAACAGTTGTGCCAATCTAACAACTACAAAAAAACTAACATTTTAATTTGGAACTATAAACAAATCATCCGTTCCCGATATTTTTTGACTAAATCGATCGATATTTTTTGGCAGAAGTTAATCCTATGAATAAAATGTATTCTAACTGAATACATTTTATTAACATAAATAGAATACGTATTTTTTTCTTTAAACTCCCTGATTTTGATGCAGCTAAATACTATTATTAGTCCTTGAAAACAGTTTTCTATTGGCAGTTAAAGGCTTAAGCAATATAAGGAGTTTTTTTGTAGCATTTTCACACATCGTTTGTGTTACATTGTACAGTGGCATAATGTGCACCTCTGCCTACCCTTTCGGGGATAAAAGGCGTGATGTTATGTATGTATGTATGTATTTCCTATACTACTATGTATGAAATAACGTACTGTTTTTTTTAATTATAAAAAGGTTGCCCCACGTACGATTTTCTTGTGGGTGGGTTTACAAACATACAAGTTCACATACAAATGACACCCAGCCCAGAACAACAATCTGTGGATCACACAAAGATTTGTTCCGTGCGGAATTGAACCCGCGACAGATTACGTGGCAGCCAGTTGCCCAGCCACCGCGATAACCATGCAGTCTCAAATTTTTAAACTTTTGAGCTTTTTAAGGTCAAAAATGTTTTACCTACATTTTTAAATACAAAATATATTATAATAGGTTACACTTGTGTTACCTTTATACTTGCTGCCTTGTTGACATGAAATACATGTACTGCTGTAGTTGAAGTAGTTATTTGAACTTCAGAAAAGAATTTTTCAAAAGTCCATATTCTGTGAGGGTCCACTTCTAGCAGGCCGGCTAAGAGTGGTGTGACGAGTTTACGCAGGCCTACGCTGAGTTGACAGTGAGATGGCAGGTCACGGGCCCAGTCAATAGGACCATTCTCGGTGGTTTGAGTTCCCTGTCACAACAATAATGACTCTTTACGTAATTGTAGAGTTCATATTCATATCTTTATTTTTTTTATTCCCGACTTGATCATATTACAAGCATACATGAAAAGACTGATGACTGTTAATGAAGCAAAAAAGGTATGTAAGAATCGTAGCAATTAACATTCCATAGTCTCTGCCTACCCCCACAGGAGACAGGTGTCAGGGTATGTATGTATGATCATATTAGATTAAACTGTCAAACACCAAGCGGTCACCGGTGACCGCAACCTATTGTTAATGTGTAATGACTTTTGGTCGAATGCGGCATCCAATCTACTACCAGTAAAGACTGAATGGTACAGTTTTGTCCAGATCAACAACAACGACGAAAGATTTGGGAGTCACTTTTGACCAGAAACTTACATTTCATGAGCTCATTGTCGTCGTCGCCAAGGAATCTTTCAAGAGACTTGGTTTCGTTCTTAGAAACTCAAAAGATTTCCGTAAAGACCATGTCATTCGGCTGTTATACAATACGCTTGTTCGGAGCAAGCTCGAAGCCAGCTCTAGCGTGTGGAATCCTCATGAGGCCACTTATGCTCTTTTGTTAGAAAAGATACAAAAAGCGTTCCTACGATTTTTGTATAAACGTCTGTTTGGTTACTACCCGTATCTGTATCCAACCAAATTCCTGACTGGATGTCTTGGATACAACACTCTGGAGACCAGACGGGAGTTTGACCAAGTAGGCATAATGCTTAAAGTGTGCCGTGGATTACCTGATGCTCCAGATCTTCACAATGAGTTGATACGACTATACGTGCTTGATAACTATCTTCGCAATAGGAACCATCGGCTCTTAGCGGTGCCTACTTCCCGCACTAATGCACGTGCGAAATCTCCAATTCCACGTGTTCTTGCTGCGTTTAACAACCTCATGAAGGTCTACCCGGATTGTGACTTGTTTAATGATAAGTATAAGGCTGTAATGTCTGTTTGCCTGGTGTATTGTGAGCAGAACCACATATAAAAATGTTATTTTATCTCGGTTTCCAGATTCTGTGTACGTATATTGTTATTATTACTGTTATTTAATTTTAATTCTAAGTTGTATTGTATTTTGTATTGTGTATATTTTTTTGTGTCCAACTTTATCTGTTTTGTAATTTTACTATATTTTTACCCGACTGCCAAAGAAGGAGGGTAATGTTTTTCGAGTGTATGTAAGTATGTATGTATGTCTTTTCCTTTGTGACCACCTGTAGCCTAAACGGCTTGATGGATTTTGATGTATGAGGTATCGTTAGATTTGTCTTGATTACGGGAGTGTCATAGGATACATTTTATCCTAAAAGTCCCACGGGATAAAGACATAATAATATTTTTTCTAAATTTCCCTTTAAAAAAATATGTATGCGGTATCATTAGATTCATTTCAATCACGGGAGTAATTAATATAGGATACGTTTTTTCTCAAAATTCCCACGGGAACATGTTAATTCTGCGTCAACGCAAAGCAACTCATGCGTTAGCAAGCAAAAAGATAGGGCGTGGCCTGGCATGCGGCGCGCGGCGCGGTGCGGAGGGGGATATGCTCGAGTATACAGCCCGATTGCGGGCACACGCATGAGGGCACACGTCGTTGACGATAGTCTTCTACATCTACAACATTTTCGTTAAATAAAAACAGCTAAAAAGTTATAAATAAAAAAATTATTATTAAAAAAACAAAATACCCGACTGCACACTAAAAAAAGAGTAAAACAAGCCCCACAATAATATTGATCAATCAAATGCTAAAAACTAATTATGTAATACCGTTTAAACAATACCTATATTAAAATACACTACAATATGTGTTCGTAATCGATAGTTAAATAAACAGAAACTTATTTTGAATACAAATTTACTGAATATAATTTATAAATGTTGATGGAAAGCATCGCAGGCGGGGACCACCTTGACCGCCACTAACGAAAATTCTGCTAAATGGTGCACAACCGAAATGACTATAAATAAGCCTCTGTTGGTCCCCGCCTGCGATGCTTTCCATCAACATTTATAAATTATATTCAGTAAATTTGTATTCAAAATAAGTTTCTGTTTATTTAACTATCGATTACGAACACATATTGTAGTGTATTTTAATATAGGTATTGTTTAAACGGTATTACATAATTAGTTTTTAGCATTTGATTGATCAATATTATTGTGGGGCTTGTTTTACTCTTTTTTTAGTGTGCAGTCGGGTATTTTGTTTTTTTAATAATAATTTTTCTCATTTTCTTTTAACACCTTTTTAATGTACTTTGATTTAGTTTTCTTTTTTTATATTTTTTGTAATTTAATTTGATTAATGTAATTGGTGTCTACCGTGTTAATCAATAAACAAAATAAATAAATTGTTCTTTAATTGTGTCTATAAATACGGTACTCGACGAGTTAAGAACTATGATCGACATGGCTGATTGGTGGATAAAGTATGTCAACAAATCATTATAAATACTAAATAGCCACCGTAGCCTGAGCTGAATTATTATACGTATATTGATATTGAGAATAATTAATATTCAATACAAATATCAAGAACGTAAATAGAGAATATAGAAATATTAAGTACAAACAATACCATTTATCCACAACATATTTAGCAACATGTTGTCATTGCTTTGGGTCTTAACTCGTCGAGTACCGTATTTATAGACACAATTAAAGAACAATAGGTTGCGGTCACCGGTGACCGCTCGGTGTTTGACAGTTTAAATAACCTGTAATGTTAACTTATGCATGTAATAAATAAATAAATTTGTTTTCTGTTTGTATAGGTATTTCATATTATTTAACACTTTGTTACAGATTTACTGCATAGTGTATATATATATAAATATATTATACTGAAACAGCATGAACTATGGAGTGACAGATAAATTAATAAGAATAAGATATGATATAGGTATCTAAAAATTGTATTCAAAATTTATTTTTGTTTATTGACATTTAATAAATTTGGACATTTTAATTGTTTGACCTTAGATAGGTACTGTCATTTTTAAATATTTTGCAGTACATATTTTTTATTACTAGTATGATTATTTTCTTTTTGACATTTAACTAAACTAATTAATATCAAGAATAATTTAGATGTAAGGTGATTATAGTGCATGATGCTTATGTAAACATTGAAATTGATTCTTAAATTAAATATCATCATTATGCATGTTTTCCTCAAAACAATTTTTCTCTTTTTAATTTGCAAACTTAAGCCTAGTGCTCACCACAATTTGTACACCTCTAGGCAGAGCATAGTGCTCTATTTTATTACCATTTATAAGACCTATATCTATATGCTTGGTTTGTTTTAAGCAACTTCAATACTATCTGATACTAATAAGACTCACAGCAATAACTCCTGATGCCTTCTTTGTGGTGATGTAAAACATGGTTTCCTTATTTCTCCGACCTCCATATGGTCTGAAGGGCAGCTGACCTGTAGCCACATGGTACAGTGTAACACCTATAGACCAGAGGTCAACTGTGGCTCCAAAGCTCTTGCCCACAGGTTTGCGTAGCACTGCTCGTTCATACATGTCAGGGTGCAAATATTCTTCGGTACCATACAAAGATACAAATTGTTCTTCTTCTTGTAATTCTCTCGCAGCTCCAAAATCTGTGAGTTTGTAAGTGGTAGTCCCATCCTCATTGATGTATTTCATGATATTACCTGGTTTTAAATCCCTATGTACCAAGTTATTATCACGCAAATGCTTCATGCCAGCAGTCAAGTGCTCCAATACCAAGAGAAACTCGTGTTCTTGAAGGCCATATGTATTCTCAGGGTCGTCGAGTATATTGAACAAGCTGCCACCCGTGCACAGCTCCATAACAATAACTTTCCCTCGGCCTTCTTGTTCCTCTTCAATGGCAAGAAGTTTTACTATGTTTTCGTGTTTCACCTTTTTGAGAACTTCAAATTCTCTCATCTGAACATCATGGGGACGCATATGGCTCAACTGGTTAAATGTTTTTACTGCGACGGGTTCTCCGTTGTTTTTGTTGACGCCCTGAAAAACCGCACCTGTGGCGCCTTTGCCCAGGACACTAGTCGTACACCATACATAGTTTTCGGAGCCTCGTAAAAACGACATTTCTATACTATTTATACTCTACAGGTTGCCTATATTTAGGGCAAAAGTACGCAGCAGTTGTTGCTTTTTACCACCCAGTTAAATTGCTTACACCAATAAGCATCCTATTATTAGAAAACAATTCCCTAATAGTTATTATATTCTTTGACAACCACTACACTACACCGAAAACAGCCAACCTGCCATCCTGCCAACAACACAACGTATTAACAAAAATAATAATAAGTTAACGTCAAATTCAAATGACAACAACACTATTGACAGAACTGACAGTGTTATGACATGATATATTTTTTCCATAGAGTCGAGCTGTCAATGATGTATGTATGTGTAAGGTACCTTTTTTTCGCAGAGTAATCAATAGTCCTCTCCAAATGACAAAAAAATTCAATCTAGTAACGGCTCATTCACGACCTTGTCACTATGTGAAACAACCATAGATATATAAAATGACATGATATAAATCTATCTATCTATCTTCTATCTATCTTCTTCTTTTATATCTTCTATCTTCTACTTCTTCTTCTATCTTCTTCTTCTATCTTCTATCTATCTATCTTCTATCTTCTTCTTCTATCTTCTATCTTCTATCTTCTATCTTCTATCTTCTATATATAATAAAATTGTAGAAAAGTGCTGTCTGTACATTGTAATAAAAATAAAAAAAATAGCAGGGGTTATTGTTATGTCGATGTCGAACCCAAAAATGTAATTAACTTTTTTTTTGTCTGTTTGTCTGTTTGTCTGTTCACGCTAATCTCAGAAACGGCTGATCCGAGTTGGATGCGGTTTTCACGAATATATTGTGGTATGCTTCAGTTATGATTTAGTGTTTGTTTCATGTCAATCGGTTCATAAATAAAAAAGTTATGTCAAATTAAAGAATCACGTCGAACACTATTCTATGCTTATACATACAAAATGACTGTGATTATGATCCAAAATAAAAATAAGTATATATTTTAAAAAAACACTGCTCATAGTCACTATTCCACGCGAACGAAGTCGCGGGCACATAGCTGTGCCCGCGACTTCGTTCGTGTAAATAAATAAAAATATAACACATATCAGTGAGTTATGTTTCTGCCACTGACAGAGGGTGCAAATGGAAACTATGATCATTTTACTATATTTATTAAAATAAAATTAAAATTACATGATAACTCTTAAAATCTAACTAACCTAAGAGCGAATGCGTTCGATGTTAGAACAACACTGCTTTCTTATCTTAAAATTCTGTATTATAAAATTAGTATGACGGTTTTCTAGTGGGGAGAACGATGATGAAGCGATTCGTAGCTGGGCACAAGGCGGCGCCAAGAGGAGACGACTCAGCAGTTCGAATGTTGCAATACTCCGTAGAACCTTCGTCGCATTAAAATAGGTGTAATGTCCTGATTCAGCAGATCTGGGCCTGGCGACACAGCTGATCACGGTGTAGATACATGTGTCGGCACCGATACGTAACAAGTGGAAACAACGACGGGAATTGTGACGAGGAACGAATTTAAAATCTTAGAAGTCAGCACGCCACGCATGTGTCTGTCGTCGCTCACAGCCATAGACTTACAATAAGCAGACCAAACATTAATTCCTAGTGTTACGTATATTAGTCAGGAAATAAAACAGGTAACGTATCGCACACTTCACTTTATTATTCCCACACAATACAGTATTACAGTAACAATTCTACTTCTTACTCCACCGAATGCTATATCCGGAATGAATCCCTGCCATGGTCGCTAGGGTATAGGTAACTTTCTAACATACAGTGGGGGTAGCATTAGTCAAATGAACAACCAATAATAATACATAGGTCAACCTAAATACTTTTTAAGATGAACTAAATTACAAATAAATTATAAATTCATATTATGCGACAAGTACATACCGATTAATTAATTAGCCTTAAAAGTATTTTAGAATATTAAACTGTTTTAATAAGTACATGACATGGAATTTAACCAATCTTATACACAAAATACTACTTAACCTAACAGCTCGGCCATCCTGTTTAAAGCGAGTCCCATCGCTTTTTTTTTAATAGTTTTAATATAATTATTTAATTTTATTTATTTATGTAATAACAATATAATAAACACAATATAATATTTAAAAATTACTTATTCGTAACAAATCTGAGAAAGAAAAACATTCAAAATCAAAACATTTCATAATTAAAGGTTTCATAATTAAATTAAAGGATCAATAATTTTGACTACTCCTACTACTTATACTACTCCTTGTCCAGGACACACGTCTGTTCGTATTCACTAGTACAAGAATCATTCTCTGATGAATCGGACTCTAAATCCCTGTTAAAATTCATCCAAGGTTGAATTTTATCCACTGCTACAATACCTTCATATTTGCGTCCGTGTTTACGAGTTAGAGGTGTGTCCTCGACCAGAAACCTATCATTAGGAAGTATTTTTACTACTCGATAAGGACCTTGATATTTTACGGTAAGTTTTTGTGACTTACCATCATGCTGCACCTGTCTCTCCACCCGTACTAAATCTCCCTCTTTATACTGGGTTACGGCTTTCCTGTGTTTATTATAGTAAGTAGCGTCTTTAACTTGTTGTTGCCTAATTTTTTCACTTACGTTTTGTCTTAATTCGTCCAATTCTGCCACAGGGATCCTGTTGAGGGTTTCTTTAATAATTTCATTTAACTTACCTTCACTTCTGCTGGTGACATTAAAACCGAACAACAATTCTGATGGGCTCTTTTGAGTTGTTTTATGTTTAGTAGTATTAATCCCTACCTGTATATCGGTAATGTGATCATCCCATGACTTGTCATCTCCTCCATGGCTAGAGGTTGATAGAGCATCTAAAATTGTCCTATTGTACCTCTCTACCTGCCCATTAGCTCTCGGAGTAGCGACTGCATTTTGGACGTGTTTCATACCATAGGCTTTTACAAAATCTTGAAAGTGTTTACTTGTAAAGCTCGTGCCCTTATCAGTGATAAGACGAGCTGGGACTCCAAAGTAGCTTACAAATTGCTTCAGAACCCTTATTGAAGTCGTAGATTTTGTATTTCTTACGGGATTAATGCTTACATATTTCGTAAATCCGTCTACAATTACCAGTAAGTAACAGTTGCCGGTTTTGCTCTTTACAAATGGCCCTAAGTGATCTGCATGGATAGTATGGAAAGGCGTACTAACCTTCTCAATAGGATGCAATTCACCTTCCCTTCTGCCACCTGGAGCTTTGTGATGAGCACACTCTAAGCAGGAAGAGACATATTTCTTTACAAACCTGCGCATTTTTTTGAACCAATAATGCTCTTTAATGCGATGTAATGTCTTCTCGAATCCGCAATGACCCACATCGTCATGATTCATCTTCAGGATCTGCCACCGCACGCTCCGTGGTACCAACCATTTCAGTTCATCACCCACAATGCGGAAAATACGATCGTTCTTTAGTTTATAATTTTGACGTACCTCTATAGTTTCTTCGATAGAAGGGTCCAGAAGGATTTCTCTAATTCTCTTAATTTCATCGTCAGCGGATTGTACAGTTGAGATCCAGTTTTGATCAAATTGCTGTATCGGTAAGATGTCCAAAATATGTGGTTCACTTACCGAACTATCCACTGGATTCCGGCTGAGTGCGTCTGCGTGAGCCATTCGGACACCGGGACGGTATTCTATGGTGCAGTTGTATTCTTGTAATAGAACCCACCAACGCGCAATTCGAGGTATGATGTCTCGTTTTACTAATGTTGATCTCAGTGCATTGCAATCGGTTAGGATTTTAAAAGGTATGCCAATCAAATAGACTCTAAAGCGATTCAATGAGGCTATTACTGCCAGAGTTTCAAGTTCATAGGAATGCATTTTTCGTTCATCAACATTTGTTTTACGGCTAAAGTATGATATCGGTTGCAATACACCGTTAGAATTGCGTTGAAGTAATATACCTGCCAAACCGTCCTTACAGGCGTCTGTGTGAAGTTCTGTCTCTGCTCCTGGTTCATATAAAGCTAATATTGGACGACTTACTAGTAACTCCTTTACCTTATTAAATGCCTTCTCTTGTTCATTATTCCAGATCCATTTTGAATTCTTCTTAAGTAATTCAGTCAAAGGCGCTGTAATCACAGCATATCCTTTGATGAATCTCCTAAAAAACCCAGAAAGGCCAAGGAACTGTCGAACGTCGTGCTGGTTTCTAGGTGTCGGGAAATTTGAGACAGCTTCAGTTTTTCTGCTACCCGGCCTAATACCATTAGCGTTGACGTCAAAACCGAGAAAATCTATGGAGTCAAGAAAGAAGTGGCATTTACTAAGTTTTAGAGTTAACCCACCTTTTTGCAGTAGCTGTAGTACTTCTTCGAGCCGCTGCAAACCCTCGTCGAAGTCTTTCGATGGAATGAGGATATCATCCATGTATATAATAGCGTATTTTATTTTGGCTTCCATTAATATCTTGTTGATGGTACGCTGAAAGACCGATGGTGCATTGACTAGACCAAAAGGCATGCGATTATATTCGTACTGCCCATCAGGAGTCACAAAAGCAGTTTTAGGACGGGATTCTTCGGATACAGGGATCTGATAATACCCGGAGGCGAGATCTAAAGATGTAAACAAAGCATTACCTGCTAGGAGATCCAGTGGGTCTTCGACCCTGGGTAATGGATAGTGGTCCTTTTTGGTTTTCCTATTCAGTGCTCTGTAGTCGACGCACAATCGCTTATCGCCTGTTTTTTTCTGAACCATGACGATTGGACTCGCATAGGGCGATGATGATTCTCGTATTATATTACTGTCCAACATCTCCTGAATCATGTCTCTTACCAGTGACCTTTCGGAAAACGACATGCGATAGGGGCGATAAACTACTGGGTCGTCGTCTTTCAGTTCAATGGTCATTTCAGTGACAGGTGTGTAACCTAAGTCATGGAGTCCACTAGAAAAACAAGAGCAATATTTGGCAAGCAACTCTTTTAATTTTTGGCACTGACCTTTGTCTAAAGCAGGATTCCAATTGACTGAAGTTTCCATTTCAGTGTCGTCAAACGTCACACTAAACGCATTGAGTGTTTTGTTCAACGGGACATGGTTTCTATGTAAGGATCGGGTTAATAACGTACCTTTATCTATGCTTATGGGGGTCTCCGATACATTGTAGATCAAAACTGCACCTCTTCCGTTTTTTATTTCGTACTGTCCAGGAAATAAATAGTACTCGCTACCCTCAGTACCTCTTAAACTACCATTCACGTAAATATCACAATCCAACTGTGCATGCGTATAAACTTTGATTGGTCGTAACACGTTACTAGGAATTTTAAACTCAGTAGACACCATAACATCTAATTTGTTTGGTGGTAGTCGTTGGATTTTAATTTCGTTTGGTGTTTTAATAATTAATATATCAGGTCTCTCAGTGAATGAATGTCCTAATAAAACAGGATGTACTAGCACGTAATCTTCTACTACGTATAAATCTATTATTTCGCGCAGACCTTGAACTTCGACGGAAGACACAGCAACTCCTAAGGGATGTATCAGGTTACCACCAATACCTCTGAGTATCGGCAAGTCAGGGCGTGTAATGATCTGAAGTTTAAGTAAGTTTGCATAACTCACCTTGATGAGGGAACATTGACTCCCCAGGTCAATGTGACATGATATAGCTGTATCATTTACCTTGATGTCTAACACGTACTTGCTCAAACCGGTATCTTCAATTGAGACTTCCGAAACCTGTTTTGGGGTTTGGTCATTACCCGATGTTTGGTTTCGATCATTTTCAATGGTGGTCTTCTTGTTCCTAAGACAATTGGCAGTTTGATGACCAAACCGGTCACAGTTGGTGCATTTTACTAAAGTTTTCTCACACTTGAAGCTTGGATGGCCAACCTCATTGCAATTAAAACATTTTATATTAGAATTGACAATCGTACCTGGTTTAGACGACCCTGGTCGGTTTGTGTTGCTCCCTAGTCTTCGATCATTTGATTTCCGCATGTAGTCGTGAGAGTCCCTGATCGGGCCACTTCTGACAGTCCTGAAATATTTTAATACCTGTTCAGGCTCGCTGAACTGAGCTGCCTGAGCGCCAACTTTCACCGCACGATCTTCTATGCCAAACAAAAGGCAGTCCACCGCTTGTCTACCCTGTATTTTACATCTGTTTAAGAGGTTTACCTTTGCGTAGTAATACTGCTCCAAGGATTCTCCATATTTGGCTTTCTTAGCTAACATTTCAGTTAAAAGTTCTGCGTAATCTTCTCTACATGGAAAAGATTCAAGAAGTTTCCTTTTCCATTCTGGCCACGAATGCAATATCGAGGTTAGACCCTGATACCACGTCTTTGCTACACCTGTTAACTTTGGTAAAGAGTAGTGAATTATTTCTTTTTCCTCCCACCCATAAATCTCTGCACATTCCTCAACTTTTGTTAACCAAGTCAGTATTGTTTGTTCTTTTGATAAAGGGTCGAACTCCGGTATTACATTCGTGTTAAAAGTCATTTTGGGTTTGTCATTACCTTTGAACTTTTCTAAAATATTGAGAAATTTGTCCATCATCCTGTTGTCAGAGTCATTATTCTTTCTTCCTCTTCGTCTTTGCAGTGGTGGCGCCTCACTTTCCGAATCAGTTGAAGTGGAGTAATAACGCTTCCTCCTCCTCCTCCTCCGTAATGATCCTCTTGAATGATTTGTTCCGCGTTCCTGCATCCGCTCATTCCAGTCCTCACAATTTATTTGATCATTTTCTCCTAGAATAATGCTTCGGTTATCGTCAAAGTTTGAGTGCCCGTACTCTTGCCTCGAGTTTAGTGCACTTTGTTCAAAACTTCGATCGTCCACAACCTGGTTTTGTCCCGTAACCTCGGGTGCCGCGTCTTGTTCATGTGCCAGACCTTCCCCTCGCCTGGTCACATCACAAGAGTAATTCATTAACCCTTTACCACGGGTTTGTATTCTATCAGGGCCCTCACCTCGGGACACCTGTCCATTAGACCCTTTGCCACGGGTTTGTATTCCATCAGGGCCCTCACCTCGGGACACCTGTCCATTAGACCCTTTACCTCGGGTATGAATTTCAACAGGGCCCTTACCTCGGGTTGCCTGTTTGTCGGACCCTTTACCTCGGGTATTTCCTTCATGTCCGTCCATCACGAGAAACCTGAAACTTACAATTAGAAGCTTAATAATCATGACAAAACATCCGCACTCATCACATATCATTTGGGTGCACCACACCGAGTTAGTTAAACATCACATATTATAAACTATTATTAAAATATACGTACACAATCCTAACGTCACCTGGGGATAGAACCCGAAGTTCCAGGCACCAGTTTAAGGCACAAATTATTTGTTCAAAGTGATATAATTTTAACCAGCATATGTATTGAATCAAGAATACTCAAAATTACTGTTCTCATTACTTATTACTAGTCAATAATATTCAGTTCACAATAAACAAGTGAGAAATGAGAAGATAAAAAAAACAAAATTTACATCTACCTTACAAAAAGAAAGGTAAAAAGTGTTATTTTGAAAGTTTAATTTTTACTGAATGTTTAGTCCAGTTTTTGTATTGTTTTGTTTGCTATTTACAAGTATGTAGTAAGAAAATAAAAAAAATAATATCCAATAATAGATCAATAACGTAATAACCTTATTTACACAAGTAAACAAAAATAATACGTTACTTACGTTATTCCGAGCCGTGGACGTGATAAGAAAATAAGAAATTTTCTCTGTTATCCCACTTCTGACCTATTAGTCAGGAAATAAAACAGGTAACGTATCGCACACTTCACTTTATTATTCCCACACAATACAGTATTACAGTAACAATTCTACTTCTTACTCCACCGAATGCTATATCCGGAATGAATCCCTGCCATGGTCGCTAGGGTATAGGTAACTTTCTAACATACAGTGGGGGTAGCATTAGTCAAATGAACAACCAATAATAATACATAGGTCAACCTAAATACTTTTTAAGATGAACTAAATTACAAATAAATTATAAATTCATATTATGCGACAAGTACATACCGATTAATTAATTAGCCTTAAAAGTATTTTAGAATATTAAACTGTTTTAATAAGTACATGACATGGAATTTAACCAATCTTATACACAAAATACTACTTAACCTAACACGTATAACTAGGAATTAAGAAAATAATCATTCTTTGTCCTTGTTCTGTCTAGCACCAACCTAATAATGGCGTCTCGTTCTTTTACCTGTAGCCACACTTCTCCATACATGACAAATATTGACATGTAGCCAGTTTTTCGCGTGCCGCCATATTGCTATCCTTACTTACAACTGTGTCAATTATACATAATTATATATTATACTACAAAACTGCCTCGTTGGCCGAGTGATCGCAATTGCGACTGCCGGGCAAGGGGTCTCGGGTTCGATTCCCGTGTCGGGCAAAGTATTACTGGGTTTTTAAAAATCTCAGTAGTAGCTCGGAGCCTGGAAATATGCCCAGTATATGGTAATAGGCTCACCCCCTATTACATGGGACTCCTAACATAAATAGTGAAAAATGGGTGTTACATTGCATAGTGGCATCAACTGCCGTAATGTGCACCTCTGCCTACCCCTTCGGGACTAAAAGGCGTGATGTTATATTATGATGTTATGTATGATAGTTGTTATATTATGTACCCTTTACGTATCAATTTTATCACAATATCACAATCATCAAATAATATCATTTTATACTTGATATGCTTGGACTCGCTGCCATTGCAGCGGTAAGTCCCCTCTTTGAGGAGTGGCTTGAGAGACGCTACGGCGCCGGCGTCCTCACCTACCGCCTGACGCAGGTCCTCACCGGACATGGTAGTTTCGGGAGGTACCTGTGTCTGATGGGGCGGGAGGAAACGCCCGGGTGTCATCACTGCGAGGACCGCCCTGAGGACACGGTGGAACACACTGTAGCGGAATGCCCTGCATGGGCTGAGCACCGCCGTGCCCTCAGGGAAGTGATCGGCGATGGCGACCTCTCGCGTCCGGGCCTAGTGCAGGCCATGATGCGGAGCGAGGAGAACTGGGATGCCATCTCCTCCTTTTGCGAAGCAGTCATGCTAGCTAAGGAGGAGGCGGGACGCGTGAGGCAGCGGAGCGCTGCCTCCTCGCAACCCAGCCATCGCGAAGGACACACCGGGCGTCGGGGATCGCGGGACGATCTCCGGCCACCGTAAGCGCGGGCCTGCGGACGGCGAGCATGGGTGGCTCCCCGTCCGACCAGAAACAGACCCGAGCGTACGGCGCGTCGCGTTCCGCACGCGCCTCAAAGAGCCATCAGACCACCACAGATGGGGCCCAATAGGGCCGATGCCGATTCGGAGTCGCGGAGAACCTAACGGGTAACCGGGGCTTCAGCTCGACGTGCAGGAGAAGGAACGGGGTGGTTTTTAGTCAGTAAGAGTCTGACACTCCCTTCCGCCTCACCCAGGCGGGAGCAGTCATTCGATGATTTTCCCCCCTTAAAAAAAAAAAGGCTACACTTTAACCAAATTGACTTCCAAATAGAATAAAATTCCCTCAACACCAAATACGCCGCGCCGTCTCAATAACTTCCGAGTTCCCGCCATCTTGACTTTTTCATTGTTCGATTCGAACAACTGAAGAAAATGTAATCTGTGGTTACCACAGATCACAAGAACATGTAATCTGCGGTTACCACAGATTACATTTTCCGATGATGTTTGGTTTTTTTTCGTCTATGCTTCTAACAATAGATAATAACTACTTCTAACTTTTATGATCCAAAGACTCTATGTATGGGAATATGGGAATGTAGCCGTGCTGACGTCAGTGTCACTGTCAGGTCAGTGTAACCTATCGATAAACATTGCTCCTTGATTGTGAATCGTGATTGCTAATTTGTTACCTATAACAAATATAATCCATTTGTAAATCCAAAATACATTTATAATATGTAATAGTCTGAAAGCGACTAGTAAATAGTGATCTGTGCATAATACATGCTCTGTGTAAAATACCATACATTGTAGTACATTTATTTTATACCAAACTAAAAAATATCACCAGGAATGTGCTGTGTGCAGTGAATAATGTGGCGATAAACATTGAAGTAACCTATTTTTAATGTTAAGCGAATTGTGGTTGTGACTTCTGCGAACGCTGATTTTATTTTCACTGTATAGGTAGATCTATAGGCATAACAATGTAAGTAACCTTGCTCTATGTAAATTTGTAATGATCTGTAACCACGGCTGTATTAGTAATGTTTTCCCGATGTCCACTTAGGTCATCACGGCACGAAGTACAACGGCATGAGCGTTCAGAAAGCTCATCTTCAAAACAACGAAATGACCAAAGGCATAAAAGTTATGAGAGAACTCGACCTCAGTCTCCTAAATCATCAAAGCAGAGATCCGATAGCAGAGATAGAACCAAGCACAAAAAGAGTAAGAAAAAGAAAAGGCAATCATCTAGCAGCAGTTCAAGTAGTGATGAAGAGGAGCTCAAGTTGCTGCAAAGGCTTGAAGCAGAACGACTTCGGCTGAAGGAGGAAAAGAAAAAACAGAAAGAACTACTAAAGGCAAATGAAACACCAGAAGAAAAGAGGTATAAATGTTTTATTATAATCAATTAAAATTTTATAATTATTATAAACTGTAAATAAGCTAATTTCGATTGGGACTACGACATGATTTCACATAATATTTAATCTGTTCTTGGCTGCCCTCGTATCTCACAATTGATTTAATGTACAATATGTTTAAAACAAAGGTTATGGACAATTTAATTCTCTCCAATATTATTACACCAAATACAATCAGCATAAAACCTTTAGCAAGTTTTGTTCTAAAGAATGTATGAAAAATGTTTTTTTACATTTGGCCCTCAATTATTGAAGTTGCAACCATCAAACCATATGTGAATTTTGAGAATAGTTTTATGATGCCAAAATACTTACGAATTTACAGCTGGGTATATCAATTTTCTGAAATAATAGCCAAAATCTATCTTTAATGACTCATTTGCCTCCATTTATCATAAAAAATTGGTACATATGTTTGTTTTGCATCTTGGTTAGACAAAGAAACAAAGAAATTATTTGAAAGCTTCACTATTGTTTTGTAGTAAATTGAAGTTTCATACTAATGACTCCAATAATAACGACGTAATCATTCATTGTGAGGTTGGAAACAATTTCATTCTGAGAATTAAGTACTTCCTTCATTCGCTTTCCAAAAACTAGTCACTATGTACTCAGGACTGATTCATTTTTGTAGTGTTTCCCGTATTTTTCAACCTTGGTGATCTCCAACAATAAGAACCTTTTTCTTAACCTGTCGCTTTGAGTACTGTATTTACCCAAACATTCTGGTGGGGTAAATACGCTAAATGTCGGCCCCCTAACGGTGCTTCCGTGTTTAGATCGCTCTGGCACCATGAACTTGCAACATTAGAATAGCCTCTGATGCGGTTTTTTATAGTTTGATAAATGTAATGGGTGTTTATAGGCTTAAGGTTGACATTTCTATTACCAGGAAAAAGTTCTAAGGCTTAGATGCATCGAGAACGAAAAACCCTAAAGTCGGCCATTTACGGCCCATGGTCGGTAGGGTGTTTTAAATTAAAACTGACAAATATTATTGATATGATTATTTTGGCAGGTATCTTACTAACCAACAAACCATTAGTATTTTTAAAGCAGTTAAGCCAACAAACATGGATTTCATAGCTAGCAAATTCCAGAGAGCAATTAATATCATAATTATATTCCCATTTCCCAAACCGTAATAAGCAACAAAAATTGGTTTTAAATATTATCAACATTTTGAACTTAACTTATAATAGTTAACTATTAATACAATAAATGTATGATAAATATTTAACTTTGAGAAAATAATAAAAAGTAATCAGCCTGTATAGTGGCGCTCTAATTTTAGGCTGGTCGACATTATCCATTAATCCCCGAACTGTGGGTATTCACAGCAAGAAAGGTACTTTAATTAAGAAATTGACACTTTGACGGTGCAATCACTACTTACGCTCAGTGTGCGAAGCGTGAGTAACGTAATCGGATAGTAATGGTTTGTATGTACATATGTAGTATGAAGTAAGGTTCCAATTAGGGGGGCAATTTTTGGGCAGACGGCCGAAGTTTGGGGGGGGCGACGTATGGCGTATTTACCGTACTACTATCTTAAGATTTTCGGAAGTTGGATCTATTTTTTTGCTGGTATATGTATCTATATACCGATTCGGTAGGTGGAGCGTTTCGTAGGTTCCCGTTTTCTAGGGGTAAGTTTTCGTTTAGGATGCCCTAAGTTTTCCTTTAGGATGTTGAGGTGCTGAAGGAGGAGGAGGAGGAGCAGGAGGCGCCCATTTGTCAAGTTTTTTACCTTGCCAATTTGACACAAATGGAGCAATATTGTTTTGACGCTAACGTCGAAAACTGCTGCTAATGCAGCCGTAGATTGTGTATCGTCAGCTTCCAAAATCGCCTTTAATTCGTCATTGTCGACCAAAGTCTTCGGATGTTAAACCAGTCCAAAGTCAAAGACCGAAGTCTTTTTAAGACAAAAAAGATTAAAACGCGATGAAAATGTAACACTAATCAACAATGAAATGACAACATTTGAAATAAAACTATGTTTTTAAATAAAATTAACAATCTTAGCCAAACAAAAAATACTTTAATTTGAAACGGCCAGTACCTACTTCAGAACGGCAATTTTATAGGGAAACACCTAATATCTCCTCTCGCACGGAGAAATCAGTACTAATGATAGTTATTTTTTGCTTTTTACTTTTTGTTTGTTATTAGTTTTTGTGTTTTGAAGACGGTTTTTTAAACGCAGTTTTCTTTATTATACAAAAATAAGACATCCTTTATGTTTTCTAGGGCTCGTCGTTTACGGGAAAAACAAGAAAAGGAGCGCAAGCGTCGTGAGCGCATGGGCTGGGACAATGAATACCAATGCTATACCAATCAAGACAATCCGTTCGGGGACTCTGCGCTTACCAACACTTTTGTCTGGACCAAGAAACTTGCTAAGGAAGGCGTCAAGACTGTGTCACGTGATGAATTAGAAGCTCTCAATCGACAAAAGCAGTTGGAAAATAAAATAGAATTGGAAAAAGTAATTATTTTGTATAACACTGTATGATTATTTGCTATATCGTATGTGTCGTTGGCTATGTCATGTGGATAAATAGTTTGTCAGAGGCATTAACGGGGAGTGGCCGCGCAGGTGAAGCAGCGACGGCTGGAGCGCGAGGCGGAGCGCGTGGCGCGCGAGGCGGAGGCGGCGGCCGCGGCGCGCGCGCGCGAGGCGCTGCAGTTCCACACGTGGGCGCGCCAGGAGGACGCCTTCCATCTGCACCAGGCGCGGCTACGCTCGCAGATACGCATCCGCGACGGACGAGGTTCGCCACGGCCCCCGACTTCACCGTCCGATGTCTTCCTGTGACCGCCTCCGCTCATCTCGCTTCTTTCTTTTCAGCCAAGCCCATAGACCTACTGGCGTGGTACGTGAGCTCGGAGGAATGCGTGGATGCGCTGGAGATGCACGAGCCCTACACTTACCTCAACGGTTTGCAGAGCCAGGACCTGGAAGATCTGCTAGAAGATATCAAGGTATGGACGCTCGCGGCTGACGCACAGCAGGGGCGTGCTTGAAGGAGGAGAGTGACGCGAGTGTTGTGTGCAGGTGTACAAGGAACTGGAGAACAACGCGAACCAGGCGTACTGGGAAGACGTGCAGACCATAGTGCTGGACGAGCTCAGCAAGCTGCGGCGCCTGGCCGCGCCCGACGCGCGTCGCGATGGCGTCCACCAGGCCGTCGCCGACGACGTCACGCAGGTCACTTGTACAGATATACCAACTGCACGCTTCTTATTTCTTACTAGTTTCTGCGGCTTCACCCGCTCTCGCGTGGAATAAAAGTAATCAGTAATTAGTAATACTGTTCCAAGTTTGAGAACAAGGATCCTAGCCTGTAAGAAGTTCTTGTATACTTCTTTAGCCCTCTTTTAAAATGAAGTCTGCGAGCCACATCACGTTGGCCGCGCAATAATGGTTGCCGAAATACTGATCCAGACCACAACCAGCCTTCAATGCAAGAACACTTGACAAAACCACTTAATAGACTTCTTAAACGGAACACAACAAAATGATACAATCAAGTAAACAGCGTGGGTTTTAAAGAACCATCTATGAATTTTACATAAATGAAGTTAATTATTATGTTTTCGGCTTACTCACGTAATAATTTGACGAGGAATTACGTGAGTAAGCCGAAAACATAATAATTTATTTAGTATGTCTCACGAAAGTTACAATAGTTTTACAAAAATAGCCACTTCTTCATCAGCAGACCCTTAATAACAGCCCTCTATCTAAGTGTGAAGTCCTCATCAAGACAAATTAATCAAGCCCAAACACAGGTCGACTCCATCATCAGGTCGCCTCCAAATTATAGTGTTAAAAAATCCTAATTGAAAAACATAAAAGACGCATTACTCGCCCTTAGAATTTTCGAAAGTTCCCCTCGGTTTCCCTAGGATCCCATCATCAGATCCTGACCTCATGGAAATGGGACCATCTCGGGAGTATATCCTTTCAAACAAAATAAGAATTCTGAGCCGAACATAGTACCTCCTCTAGTTTTTTTGAAGTTGGTAATTACTTGAAAAGTACGAAACATCGCAGAAAATACATAGGGGATTGTGGGTTACTCCCAGGTTGGGGAGGAATCAAAAATATTGTCACATTAAATTTTGTCGTTGTATTGTCGTTACATCGTTCTCACATGTATGTATATACATTAGGTAAAGGATCAGATAATGTATCAATGAGAATGTAAAAAAACTATTTTATAAAAGAGTAACGATGTAGTTTCTTGCTCGGTCTTCTCTATTCGAAATTAGACTTTGGAACGAGCGCCTAGCTTCACTGACAGACGGACGGACGGACAAGTCAAAGTTTGACGTTTCAAATGTGCCTAATTAAGAATTAATTGAAATAAATGCTTTGACTTTGAATTGACGCCACTACTTGGAGCACCTTGGTTGTGAGCTGTGACCCGCTGCAGTCGGCCTGGCAGTGTTGTTGTGTAAGCTTGGGATGTCTCTTGTGTCCGCGTAGATATTCAAAGGCAAGACGGGCGCGCAGCTGGAGGCGCTGCAGACTCAGATCGAGCAGAAGATCAGCGGCCGCCACGACGGCGTCGACGTCGGCTACTGGGAGAGCTTGCTCAGCCAGCTTAAAGGTATTGCCGTGTAAATATACTAGCTTCTGCTAGCGGTTTCGCCCGCGTCCCTAGGGGCAAAAAGGGTCTGTGTTACTCCACACAATAATTTACTTCTGTTCCAAATTTCATTCCGGTCCCTTCAGCCGTTTTGATGTGACCGAGTAACAAACATTTACAATATCGGAGCCGCGGGCAGCAGCTAGCAGGTAATAAGATAAGGTAGTTGAAATTCACAAAGTGGCAGTTTAACATTTTTTTATTGCTTCAAAGAAGTAATACGTCACGAGTCGTGTCTGTAATGTTATAGCGCACATGTCGCGCGCGCGGCTCCGCGACCGCCACCAGACCAACCTGCGCCGCAAGCTGCAGCTGCTCAAGCAGGAGCAGGGCGTGCAGCCGGCGCGCGGAGACCAGTCTGCGCACGGAGACCTGGACGGGCAGTCTGCGCACGGAGACCTGGACGTACAGTCTGCGCACGGAAACCAGGACGTGCAGTCTGCGCTCGGAGACCAGGACGTGCAGTCTGCGCACCAAGAGCAGGACGTGCAGTCTGCGCAGCAGGGGCCCAGCTCTCAGCCCGCGCAGCAGGAGCAGAACTTGCAGCGAGGGCAGGCCGTGCAGGAGCAGAGCGCGTCGCGCGCCGCCAGCCCCGCGTGGGACGCGGACGAGGGCGGCGCGGCGGCGTGCGTGGCGCTGTACGAGGCGGGCCGCTACTCGCCCGCCCCGCTGGCGCCGGCCGCGCTGGAGCCGGGCACGCTGCTGACGGAGCCGGCGCTGGACGCGCAGCGCCTGGCCTACCTGCGCGCGCGCCTGCAGCCGGCCGCGGCCGCGCCCGACCCGCTGGAGCGCGAGGCGCGGCGCGCCATGGCGGCGGCGGCGTCGGACGCGGACGAGGCGCAGTTCAGCGTGGAGCACGCGCTGCCGGAGCAGCCGTGCCTGTGGGCCGACAAGTACCGCCCGCGCAAGCCGCGCTACTTCAACAGGTGCGCGCCGCCCCGCCCGCCCCGCGCCCCGCGCGCCCCGCCCGCCCCCCGCCCCGCGGCCTGTCTCTAATCTGTGCCCGACTGCTTGCAGGGTTCACACGGGCTTCGAGTGGAACAAGTACAACCAGACCCATTACGACATGGACAATCCTCCTCCTAAGATCGTGCAAGGTTACAAGTTCAACATCTTCTACCCGGATCTAATAGACAAGAATGCCACGCCGGAGTTCTCTCTGGTAAGTATACCAATTCTCGGAACCGGGGCCAGTCTCCATACAAAGTTGTTTAATAACATTTTGTTACAACCAATTTTATACTCGAACACAAACAAAAGGAAGGGTGTAGGCAGTATCATCAGAACTTCAAATGACACCGTTCTGACATGCCTCTTTTGCGCTTCATCTACATTTATCGATCTCTTCGTGCATGCTCGTTGATTGAGGGTGCTTCTAATTTGACCGTTTTTTTTAGTAAATCGTCTATTTGGTCGAAGTACGTCCACCTAGAGCATTCTACTGAAGGGCTTGTAATTCGACCTTATTATTATATTACAGATATACCAACATTTTTGTCGAACAAAGGGATAGACGGATATGAACGGTTATTAATGTATGTACTTATCGCTGAACAAGTCACAATCCGGGTAGGCCTTGATGAGGTTGTTAAACGCTACAAGAAGACGTGGAATTTGAGATTTCGCACGTGCACCCGTGACAATAGACAGACAGACAAAAACTTTTCATTCACATTTTTTGGTTCGGTATCTATTTAGTAACACGCCCTACTATTTTAATTAAAATCGCGGGTTACTGACAGCGTGCGCGACGTCGCCGCGACCGCGCACGCTGCTCATGAGGAAGAACCCCTCTGTGGTTCGAAATTAGTAGACTTTTTCTCAGTATATTCACGTGAGTAACCCGCGATTTTAGTTGATTTGGAAAGATTTTAGAAAGGCCCTACTATTTTTTTTTATATTTTCAATGTACTTACAGAACTTCCACTTCTCCAGGTTTATTATATGTATAGATTTTATAACAGTTTGATGTGTCGTATTCAGAAACCGTGCCCCGAGAATCCAGATTTCGCAGTACTGAGGTTCCACGCGGGCCCGCCTTACGAAGACATCGCGTTCAAGATAGTGAACCGCGAGTGGGAGTACTCGTACAAGCGCGGCTTCCGCTGTCACTTCCACAACAATATCTTCCAGTTGTGGTTCCACTTCAAGAGATACCGCTACCGCCGCTAGACCGCTGCCTCGCGGACCATACCGCGCCAATACTTGGGGACCATACAGATTATTTACATGCAAAAAGAAGAACTGCATTAAAAAAATCATCCAATGGGACCGTCATTTATTAAATGGATGATGGGAATGATGTTATATTGATTCTCATTTGTGCCTTTATTTTCACGATCGACAACACCATGTTACCCAGCAAATTAAAATTATTTTGTATTGGGCAATAGATTCCTAAATATCTAAGTTGCTCGAAGACTACAACAAATATTGCGAATAAAAATTTAAAGTAAATAAATCAACTTCCTCTTCGATCAACTATACACCTATAAATAGTAGTAGTATAGTTGATCAAACAACTTCCTGCATACTGATTCAGGAAATTGTTAAAGGTGTTAGGAAAAAAGATTTTATAGCATTTTTTTAATTACCAAATCCTCAAAGTCTGTGGGTCTAGTAAATAAGTATCCTGGAATCCGTGCCTCCTACTATATTGTACACCGTAGTTATATCAATTAAATCATAATTTCCACATCTTTTCTTAGTTGTTTATTTATACTGCTCTCTTTCGCCTTGGCTTTGGCTTTGCTTGGCTCGTTGGCCGAGTGGTCGCAAGTGCGACTGCCGGACAAGGGGTCTCCCCCTTGTACCCCCTTGCACTTGCACTTGCGGGTTCGATTCTAGGGAAGGGCAAAGTATAACTGGGTTTTTAAAAATCTCAGTAGTAGCACGGTGTCTGGAAATGTGCCCGGTATATGGCAATAGGCTCACCCCGTATTACATGGGACTCATAACATAAATAGTGAAAAGTGGGTGTTACATTGTACAGTGGCATTAAACTGTCAAACACCAAGCGGTCACCGGTGACCGCAACCTATTGTTCTTTAATTGTGTCTATAAATACGGTACTCGACGAGTTAAGTGCCCTTTTTTTTTCAATAAATTGAGAAGCCGAGATAATTTATTTTGCCTGAGTAAAACACTCAATATACACATGCAGTTTAAAGAAAATGTCCATGGATGGCTTTGATCGTTGATATTTTATTTAAAACCCTTATTATTAGGCAACTATGGCCCATAGATTATAGAGATACACTTAACAGACTAGACTTATATAAAATATTATAATATACAGTTGATGTTAGTGTTAGTAAATTCGCACCAAGTCACTGCGCTCGTGTGGCTCTTGTCTGCGGACGGGACACCGGCGCTTGCGGCCAGAAGTCCTCTTCCAAAACAAGGTGGAGAAAACATGTTGGCATTCTCACCACATAAGCCATGAACTTACCGTTGTGGGTCAACTCCAACAACTGCGCTCACACCCTACATCTGGTCTTCTGAAGCACGTACTCCACGATGTTCTCTGCCGTGGTGGTGTAGATTATACTTTTATACTTACCATGGTATAGTGTAGGCAAGGATAATACCACCAGGTGACCTGGCTGCTTGTTTGCCTCATCTATACTATCTATACTAATATTATAAAGAGGAAAGATTTGTATTTTTGTATGTTTGTAATGAATAAACTCAAAAACTACTGAACCGATTGCAATAATTTTTTCACCATTCGAAAGCTGCATTATTCAGAAGTAACATAGGCTATATAATATCACGCTAGGTCCTATAGTTGTGGAGCAGTAACCAAAAATGTTTTAAAAACGGGGGAAAAGTATCGTTTCTGAGGCCTTCCGTGGCGTGCGCTGAGCATATAGTTAAAGTTATACAAAAATGTTCTATAGATGAATTGTTTATCTTAACATTATTTTTAAAAAAGTCCGCGAGAGCATATGTCTACCTTTTATAGTTTACCCATAACAATCGTTTTAATGAATGGTTCAATCCTTATAAAAGTTTACTCTAGATAACTTTTGAATTATTCAATCGGTTACCTTAAGACGCGACATCGACAACGGAGGGCAGGTCGCTAAAAAAAAACTGAGAATAAATATAAATAAAACGTAAAACTATGTAAAAAATCTTAAGTCCCCCCGTGCGAAGCCGGGACGGGCCGCTAGTATTCCATAAAAAGCTATCTGAGTCTATGAGAAGTACCAGTTTTATTTTGATGATCATGACACGAGTGAGTGAATGTAATTAATGCGAAACTTTGCTTTTGCATAACTTAGGAACAAAATGACCTACAGGCTTGAAATTATAGGTTGAATTGATATTAAATTTGTGATTACAGCTTACTGGATGATGATAATTTCTGCGTTATGGTCTTATCCAGAAATCCAGAGGGTCTCAAATGGGGCCTGAAAATGCGACGAAATGGTTCCAGTAAAGAATGGTACGGCAGTGTTAGCTTCGTGCTAGAGTTGGCGGGGGCACTGCCGGGCCCCCAGATTCAAGATCGGCCTCTCTTCTATTAGAATAACTTTATTTCATGGTTTTGTAATATGAGAATCCATTCTTATAAGATTATACCTATTACCATACCTTACCAAAATCATCATTAAACTGTCAAACACCAAGCGGTCACCGGTGACGGCAACCTATTGTTCTTTAATTGTGTCTATAAATACGGTACTCGACGAGTTAAACAAGGTAGTTTCATTATTGTATGTAGCCATTCTAAAAAACTTACTCCTGATATAAAAAGACCTACTTAAATAGAGTATTTACTCCCAGATATTTTCATGTAGGTACATAATAGTGCAAAGTGGGTGTTAAATTGTGCAGTGGCATTAAATGCCATAAGAATAAAGGGGTCCATATAAGAGTAATAATTATAAGATGAATATCAAACACAATAAATCATTTTGATGATTTTAGGTTCTTTATTTACATGGATTTCACAAACATACTATTTTCTCTAAGTAATTATATTATTGTTTCGCCTTCTCATCAGCTGCATTAACTACTTCTTCAGAAGCAGGATTGCTGCGGAAATTAGGGAATTGTTCCCAAGGGGCACTTAACTCAAAACGCCTGAACTCTTGAGCCAATTCCAAAGGCTCTACTACCACACGTTTTTGTTCATCATCATAGCGTACCTCCACATAGCCACTTAATGGAAAATCTTTTCTAAATGGATGACCCTCAAAACCATAATCAGTCAAAATTCTCCTCAAATCAGGATGGTTAGCAAAGAATACTCCATACATGTCCCAGATTTCTCTTTCATACCAGTTTGCAGCTTTGAAGACATCATTGGCGGAATCGACAGGAGTCAGTTCATCAGTGTATGTCTTGACTCTAATCCTGGCATTGTACCGCAGAGACAGTAAGTTGTAAATGATCTCAAACCTGTTGGGTCTGTTAGGTACATCCATGCCAGCAATGTCCACAAGATTGGTGAATTGAGCGCTGTGGTTGTCTTTTAAAAACTGCAAGACTGGAATAACACCCTCAGGAGGGATAAGAACTTCCAATTCATTCCCAGCAGTAAGTTGAACCTTTTGTATGTATTTGGGCAAACATTCTGCAACATATTTGCCAAAGTCGACTAGATGGGTTTTTTGAAGAGGATCAACTTTGGCCACAGTAGGCCGTGTTTCGGCCTGGGGGCCAGCCTGATTAGCTTTTGTAGCAACTCGCACTATGACAGGAGTCTTCACATAGTTCAAAATGTTGCGTCCCCAACATACAGTAGCACCGGCGGTACGTTTCAGTAATAATGACATCTCGTTCGATAATATTTTCAAAATAAACTTACGTAATGAAATTCGATTCAATTCTATTACAACCCACACCAGTCACCACTCACACCAAAACAAGACGAAGACGAACGAGACGAGATTACGAGATAGATATGACATCTGTCATTTGTCACTTTGTCAGTGTGACAGTGTTGCGCAAAAAGACCATAAAGTAAAAAAAACCGTTGTGGGACAGCGACACTCTTCCCTTTACTGAAGTACGAAAAATATAAGAAAAGGACAATGCTCAAAAAGCCAAGGCGCTAGCAAAACTGTTCCCCGCGACTTCGTCCGCGTATAGATAATAACTTGTGGTAGATTAGATTAGATTTTTTATTTAGTCAAAGGTCCAATGCTGTGTACCGAATCTCATCACAATCAATTCAGCACCCTACATTATATTTATTGTAAAATGAAATTATTTTCGTAATTTCACAAAAAAAACAGTCCCAGGGATATTCTAACCGTGTAGTATTCATTCCCGTGAGAATTTAGTGATAAACCTTTCCCCGGTTGCAAACGTGTTGTGTTGTATCGAATTCCAATCAAATTCGTAAAGCGGTTGAAAACTTTCAGGTGTCCTATTCCGGGTCTCTTTTTATGGGACAAGCCCGAACCTTCCAAAACCGCTGCAACTCCTGTAAGCCAGGATCTACAGTAGATATTATAATCATGAAAACACCGGAACACTGAAGTCCGGCGCGTCTCAGGGACATGAATGTCATACTATTGAATCATCATGAATGTCATACATGAGTCATACATGAATGGGTCTTGGTTCCCGCAACGAAGACCGGTTACCTTACGTTTCTTTAGACTATTTGCGAGCTTTACGAAAGCATGACGTTGTTCGACTAGATAGTTATTTCACTAGTCGCATCTACGCGTACTTATCAAGGACCTGCGACCAAAAGCAATGTTGGCACGGTAAGTAAAGGCATCTGACATGATTTCAGTACACTTCTGGGCCGAGAGATCTCCGCGAGTGAAGTCTTTGGCTTGAGATGCAAATAATGAACTAAAAAGTAGGAGTTGGAACAAGGTGGATTTTAGTCAGTAACGTGCTGGCGCTCCGTCCCACTTCCCCAAGACGAGAGGAGTCATCTAAAGATATTCCAACAAAAAAAAAAAAAACTACTACGGAAACCTTTCGCATTAAAATGACAATTGCCTCAAATACTTTATTCTAGCCATATCGACCATAGCCATTTCGATATATTTTGCGTTTCCTGGCACCGCTAGAAAGCAATATGTATAATATAAATGTATGAAAAAGATGAATCTTCGAAGGGGTATAACTTCTTCATCTTGGATCCTACAACTATTACGCCTTTAACTTTAGCTCCAAATGGCGAGTTCCATTTAGGTCGTAGTATCAACCAAACTTATGCGGGCGCTGGTATTTCCGATTTTACTCTACGCGGCAGAGACGTGGACAGTACGTGAATTGGAAAAGGGGAAGATAGATGCTCTAGAGATGTGGTGCTGGAGGAAGATGCTTGGTGTATCGTGGACTGAGTTCCGCACCAACGTATACGTACTCCGAGAACTCGGCATCACAAAGCGTCTATCAACCATAGTACAGACGCGCATACTGCAGTACTTTGGCCACGTCTCCCGTCGTGATAACAATTCCATAGAGCAGCTGGTCGTTCAGGGGAAAGTAGAGGGAACCAGATCACGAGGCAGATCACCTATGCGCTGGACTGATCAAGCCAAATCGGCAACGGGAAACCCAGTGTCAGACTGCGCCAGACAATCCACAAACAGAGAGAAATGGCGGGAGATCGTGAGGAAAGCTGTATCGGCCACCAACACAAATACGGCCGCCTCAACGTGACCACGACCGCTCTGCCAAGAGTGAAACGACAGAGAAGAAGAGATCAACCAAATAAAATCCAAAACTAACTTATAAATAAATGTGCAATATAAATAATATTTGCTTTAGACGTAAAGTCGTTTATTTTGTAGGTTTTTCACTTCAGGCAAATGAAATATAAACAGGAATACGATTTCTATCCGTCATAGCAAAGAGCTAGGAGCTAAAGACCATATAATAAGTATAGGGGTACGCCATAGCCACTACTAGATTGAAAACTCCACGGATGGGGCTCAATAGGACTGATGCTGATACGTAGCAGCAGAGGACTTAACGGGTTGCTGGAGCTCCGGCTCGAAGGACAGGAGTAGACACGGGGTGGATTTAATTAATCAGTAAGAGTCTGACACGCCCTCCCGCCACAACCAGGCGTGAAAGAAGCCCAAAAAAAGAGTGAAACAATCATAGTCTGAAAAAAAGTCCAATTTCTTGTTCTACTGAAAATCACTTTATGCTCGTAATACAATCAGTTGAGCTGCACTCCGAATTGTTGTTTTGTAAGTTTAATAAACTTGTCTAAGTTTTATCCACTTAAATTCCAGTCTAGTACCATTATAACATAACAAAAAACTAACAAAACAAACTCGATCACAGCTGATGACACTCAACGTACTTTCATTTAGTGTTCCCATTCTTACTTCCTTACTCCTTATTATATATATATATATATATATATATATAGCATGTAGGAATATCAGCAATAAGGCAAGTATTTTAATATAATCATGTAATTTATTCACTAAAGACGGACTATTACAATGTAGTTTTGTAAGAGAAGAAAGTAGCGCCGCGCAGCGGCAAAAATGCAAAAAAAAAACTACAACGCGTTCAAGATCACAAATTTATATAATGGTTGCGTTCAATTCCTAAATATATATATATATATATATATATAGACATTACACACATTTTATATATATATTTTATTATATATATTATATATTTTATATTATAAATCTGAAAGTGAGTTTGTTTGTTTGTTTGTTCCACCTCACGCCGTAACTACTTAACCGATTGCTTTAAATTTTTGCAGACGTAAAGTTAGAAGTCCGAATTAAATAATAGGGTACTTTTTAACCCGGAAAAAAATGATATTCCCGAGGAAAAACAAAAGTATTGGTATAGATGGCGCTGTGTGTATTGGTATATGTCACATAGGCTACTTTTTATTCTTTTGTAACGCGAGCGAAGGAAGGCAGGAATGGGACACTGGTCACTGGACAGGCTCGACCGGAGTGATACCACGGCCGCACAAAAAACTTACTTGCATTGTGTTTCGTCTCACGAAGTAAGTAAGTTTTTACCACTTTACCGAAGGCCAATCTTCCCTTCCCTTCCTTGAGGAATCTCATCTCCCGAATCTTCAACAATCCTCATAGAATTCAACTATAAAAACCCCATGGTAGGCGCACACAAGTCTCTTCTTTTTTGCCGTGTCTATGAGTGCTCCTGTCAAGCAAGTTGTCTGTCAGTGTCATCAGTCAATAACACTAAACAGTCACATGTCAGTTAGTAAATACCATGATCTTGCTAGTGCAATTCTCGCAAGTGTTTTCTAATTTTTAAGGCCAAGGGCTGAACAAGCCCATTTATTGACAAATACCGAATTCTTTCAAGGACAACCTTAAGTAGTGAATTGAGGGAAGCAATAACGAAGATACTTAATTGATTCTATAGACAGTTGACTAAATAATGTTATTTATTAAATCTATGGAGACAGTAGATTGATGAATAAGGTGTGTTTTTAGCGGCGGTTATATTCTAGTGACTACGGTAAAGGCTATTAAATTTAGACAACTTTAAATTGTTATTATTTTTTACTGTTCATAGCATGAACAGTAAAAAATACATATAAACTAGTGAACTATGCGATTGCTCTGCAAATGCCTCTGTCCTTATGGAGAAGTATACGGGATAAAATACAAACTTGAAAAGTGCTTATTTATATTTTGTTTACAGCTGGTGCCCACAACTTCCTCCACATACAATATTGGCTTTAGGCAGAGTTTTGTGTTCCAATTTCTAAAAGAAATTATATCTATATGTTGCCCTGGCCTATTACCTATTTACAAAAAAAGTTTCATACAAATCCATATATCTAACATATATAATATATTCCAAAGATTAGCGTGCACACTGCACAGAGTTGTAATGTATACATATAGAAATAGATTTGAATAGAATGGTACAGAACTGTTACATTAGTCAATAGGAAGACATTACGTGTTGTGTGTGTAATGGTTGGTGTGGAAACAAAACAACACAGTAAACATTTTGTTTTAAGTTATGCTTAACAAAAGTATAATTATTACAGGTTATATTTATAAAATGGAAGATGAAATGAAACAATTAAAGTCCCTGTTGCGGTCTCTAGTGGTATCGAGCCCAACACAAATGGATGTGCGTAGTTTGCTACGTGACTACCGCAACATGGTTGGCGAGCCTGTTCCAATCACTAAGTTTGGTCATAAGGACCCAGTCGCATTTTTAAGAGAACGTTGCAACGATTCCTTTCTGGTAAGCATTACTGTATTGAATTTCAAAATGTTTATTTTAATATTATTAAATATAGTGACTTTTTCCAAGTTATATGTACTTTCTAAGATTATTTAGACACCACTGACAAACGGTGAAGGAAAAACATCGTGAGGAAACCTGAACTTATAATTTCTAATTATAAGTTTGAAATCGCCAACCCGCATTGAGCAAGTGTGGTGATTAATGCTCTAACCTTCTCCGTGTGAGAAGAGGCTTTGCTCAGCAGTGGGCATTTATAGGCTGTTGATGATGATTAAATATGATTTGTTTGACACACAGCTTTGATTTATGGCTGAAATTTACAACCAATCTTAATTTATATGTAGATTTTGCACAAATTACATATTAAGCGGGTAGGGCAGTAATTTGATAACTGAAAATTGAATTAAAAGTTTAAAAACCTTTTAAAAGTAGAAGATTATGAAATAAAGCTATTTTTAAGTATGTACCTAAGTGTGTATTGATCAATCGATCTACAAAAACTTTTTAATTGTCACGACAGCGTATGTCCTTTGCCATCATATAGATTGTAGGTAGGCCACAAATGTTCGCTTGTCTCGTAGCTTTCTGACTCACACAGCAAAATAGTAGAATTGTTAGGTTTAAAACGGTTCCATTTTTAAATTAAAAAGAAATGTTAAAGCATTTACTTAATGTATGTAAATAGAAATTATTTTAACATTGTGTCTCTCAAGCACAACACTCATGTATAGCATGATGAAAATGCGGCAACAACAAGTACAATCAACGTACACTCACAGTAACATTCGGAAAAGTACTTTTATTTTAGAAAATAAAGACACAATAAATTCATAATATGGTGGTCAGTAGTCACACTTGCATAAAATAGATGTATTTGTATAAAATATAGAACATACTGTACCTACAGAATAGTAGAACAGTAGAAATATTTTTATTTTGACATACCTAAATTATCTGTGTTTTGTTTTAGTTTACAGGTCCGCCATCAAATCCAGTACTCACTCTGATTGTACCAGAGACATTAAAACACATTGATCAGTTTGTACAGAGACAAAAAGTACCATCCACTTCGAAATTGTAAGTATTAATGTCAGCATTCTATAGAGTATATGTTTATCCCCCATTCGAACGAGGGACTTTATAACGCACCTTAAAAAGCGTTAAAATGCGTCGGTTAGTATAATATGTTCTTTACTTCGAGCGCTTTTATAACGCGAGGCAATTATCGAGCAGTGTAACACTTTCAATACTGAGGTGTCGGCGTTATTATGTGTGCGTTTCTGCATTTATTCTATTTCAACGCTTTTTTAACGTGCTTTAAAATGTATGTATGTGCACGCGCTTCTTGGGACGCCCCTCAATCTCATTTTTAATTAATTTTGTTCATTGAGTTAAATATATCGGTTCAAACAATCGAAAATCTAAGAAGATTTATCATCCCATATTCTCTCCTCTTAGGGGTGGAATTTATCATAATCCTTTGTTAGGGGATGCCTACATCATTTATCTGCATGCCGAATTTCAACCACATCCGTCCAGTAGTTTGGGCTGTGCGTTGATAGATCACTATGTCAGTCAGTCGGTCAGTCAGTCAGTCACTCACCTTTGAGTTATCTATACTAATATTATAAAGCTGAAGTTTTTGTTTGAACGCGCTAATCTCAGGAACTCCTGGTTCGAATTGATAAATTATTTTTGTACTAGCTTCTGCCAGCGGCTTCGCCCGTGACTCCAGGGGTTAAATGGCTATGTATTACTTTAGACCATAATCTACCTCTGTTCCGAATTTCATTCCGGTCCCTTTAGTCGGTTTTAATATGACTGAGTAACAAACACAGGGCCGCGCCGACCCCCGGCAGCGCCTGTGTGCGGAATCGATGGAGCGCCTCTTTTTTACCGACTTCAAAAAAGCAGGAGGTGCTATGTTCGGCTGATTGATTTTTTTTGTTTGTTCGCACATTACTCCGCCATTTGTACACCGATTTCCAAAAATCTTATTTTGTTTAAAAGGGTATACTCTCGAAATGGTCCCATTTCCATGAGCTCAGAATCTGATGATGGGATCCTAGGGAAACCGAGAGGAACCGAGGAGAACTTTCGAAAATTTTAGGGGCGAGTAATGAGTTTATTATGTTTTTCAATTACGATTTTTAAACACTACAATTTGAAAACGGTCTGGAGTCGACCTGATGATGGAGCCGACAGACAATCGAGAGAACTCCTCAGCTGTTTTTATTAACTACCCTATGCTTGGGCTTGATTAATTTAGTACAAACACAAGGTAGTTAATATAAACCGCTGAGGAGTTCCCTCGACTGTCTGTCGGCTCCATCATCAGGTCAAATCCAGACCCTTATCAAATTGTAGTGTTTAAAAATCGTAATTGAAAAACAAAATAGACGCAGTACTCGCCCATAGAATTTTCAAAAGTTCCCCTTGGTTTCCCTTGGGTCCCATCATCAGATCCGGACCTCATGGAAATGGGACCATCTCGGGAGTATACCCTTTCAAACAAAACAAGAATTTTCGAAATCGGTTCACATATGGCGGAGTACTGAAAAAAAAAAAACAATCAGCCGAACATACGTACCTCCTCCTTTTTTTAAAGTCAGTAAAAAGTTCAATGCGCACCTTACACACACTTTCAATCAAATGATTGTTCAATTGTTTTGTTTTAGCTTGACTCTCTCGTTCGTTAAAATCGGGGAATCCCTCACGCATCGCATCGGGTTGCGTTCACAAACTCACTCATACTTACTCATACAAAGTCGGCGCCTTTATGATTCAATATAACTAGTAGGTACCTACTTTATCTGTGGTTCAAAAGATCTGCCGCCGTTTTAACGTTGATCTTGTAACTCGTAAGTAATGTAAACTAAAACCCTAAGTGTAAAATGAAACCATAAACGTGATTAATAATAAACATAAATATTGAGAGACTTGTTTAATAAGCGTAATATAAGTTTTGTTGTATACAAGGCCTATGTTGCGCCTATTGTACCTACTTACTTATCGATACTCTACTACCAAAAATATAATAATTAAGGTAACAAAAATAATTCAAGTAGAGGTGGTGGCGCGACACGGCGCCCCTATTGTCTTGGCGCCTGTGTGCGCCGCACACTTCGCACACAGGGGCGGCGCGGCCCTGAACAAACATACACATAAACTCACATATTTTCACATTTATAATATCGAGTCAAGGTAATTTCAACCATCGGCCCTACAGTTACAGCGCAATGTCTATGGATGAGTATTGTAAACGTAAGAGTAAACAAATATAAGCAGAAAGCTCCGAACTGCTAAGCTATCGGGAGTTACACGTGTTATTGTGAGTCAACCATAAAAGAGAGACGTGTGCTGTTGTGGGATATTATTTAGATAATTTTATGTAGAAGATTTCCGTCATACATGATTTCTCCGTAGCTTTAACTATTAAGCCTGCTCGGGCGACGGAAGCTTAAAAAATGGAGTAACTTCTCCCGTTTGCCCAACACTTTCCTTCACCGCTCTGCTCCTCTCCTATTGATTTTAGCGTGATGAAAAGTATACTATAACATCCCCAGGAGTATGAAGAATAATTGTTTCAAGTTATTTAAAATCCGTCGAGTAGTTTTATTTCTATAAGGAACATACAGGCGGACAGTCGACAGATAGACATACAAAAATTTTACTGATTGCATTTTTGGTATTCGTATCGATCACTCACCCACTGATAGTTATTTTGGAAATATATTTCATTTACAGAATTGATCTCTCTACAGATTTATTATAAGTAATAAGTATAGATATAGGAAGGCTGTAGGCTAGATAACATCACGCCGCGACTAATAGGAGTGAAGTAATAATGGAAAATGTAGGAAAAAACGGGGAAAAGTATATTCATCTTTGAGGGCTTCCGTTGCGTGCGGTGCGGTATAATGTACACTCGCGCGTCGCGCCGCATGAATGATGTACAAAACATGATGCTGCGCCTGGCTGGCCGTTTGTAGCGCGTTCAAGCTAGTCTCAGAAAGTACAGGTCCGATTTCAAAAAATATGTTTGTGTTGGAGTGTTCATGTATCAAGGAAGGCTATATGCTATAAAACATGACGCATTGGTAGCATCACGCCGCGCGCCAGGACTCGTGGGGATTAGTTATATAAAGTTATATAAAATATGTTTATGGTATCTGTGGCAAGCTGGCCACTTTCAATAGGGAAATCTATTTATGTTCTTCTTTTGTTTTAAAAAATACATGACTGTGTTTCTAGCTTACTTAGTACTTACTAGCTTGTTTAATTTACACGATAAATAATTATTGCAATGTATATTGAAAATATATAACACAAATGAACAAATTCTTTAGCTTTATATAATTAGTATTATTTACTTAAAGATAAGATTAACAAAATAATAAAGATATAGATATGAATAGTACCTATTCTTTGAGGATCTATGGTGGTGGTAAATCTCATTAGCTTTAGATTTAGGTTTACGTTATTTGATAAATAAAATCATTATGAGACTATATTGGAGACGCAATATCACTCAGTTGAAATGTTATTTTGGCAGTAAATCAAAAAGAAGAAGTGTGCCAGAAGCTACAATAGCCAGACCAACAAAGAATAATGTATTTGAATCATTCGGGTCGAGATCCACCCCCGCGCCCGCGCCCGCGCCCGCGCCCGCGCCCGCGCCTGCGCAGCAGTCGGGGCCGCGCGCGCGCCCCTCGCGGGACAGCACGGAACCTGCCGCCAGTCCCAACACTACGGTGACCAGTAATGACGTCCAGAATTTCTTGAAGAAGCGCATACCGCTATACAACGACCTACATACTATTGAAGACGTTAAAGATGGAGCAGTATCACTCGCCCTCGACAATGATGAACTAGATTCTGGGAGACATACTTCGTCTAGTGAGTTGCTTTTGATTTTCATATTTGTGTGTGCGCTGACACTCGCCGTCTGCCTCGACTAGAGCTCGGAGTTGGGAATCGTGCGATCCATGGCCCTGTACGGGGCCCCTGTATGGGCATTACACTTGACGGCCAACACTCTCGCTATTCTGAAAAAACCGCAGAGGGTGATGGCTGTCAGAGTTGTCCGCGGGTATCGCACGATTTCCTACGAGGCGGCTTGCGTCCTGGCCGGATCCCCGCCCTGGGACCTAGAGGCGAAAGTACTCGCGTCACTATACCGATGGCGCGAGGAAGAGCGGACACGGGGCTCCAGGCCGGTGCAGCGCCAAATCGAGCGGCGCCGAGAGGAGCTCCGTCAGGTCTTGGTGGCGGAATGGCGGCAAAGGCTTTTGCGCCCCACCGCCGGCCTCGCTACCGTCGAGGCGATCCGGCCAGTACTCGACGACTGGCTCGGGAGGAAGCACGGCTCCCTGTCGTTTAGAGTGACGCAGGTGCTGTCGGGGCACGGCTGCTTCGGCAAGTACCTGTGCCGCATAGAGAGGGAGCCGGACGCCCGGTGCCACCACTGCGTCCATTGCGGGGAGGACACGGCGCAACACACGCTCGCCGAGTGTGTAGCTTGGGAGGAGCAGCGCCGTGTCCTCAGAAATGAAGTAGGAAGCGATCTGTCGCTGCCGGCCGTAGTGCGGAAGATGGTGGACAGCGCAGAGTCGTGGGACGCGGTGGTGTCTTTCTGCGAGGATGTGATGTCGCAGAAGGAAACTGCGGAACGGGAGAGGGAGATCTTACTGACTTCCTTTCCCAACCAAGAAGGCGCACCGGGCGTAGGAGAAGGGCCGACAACGCCCTCTTCCGGCCCCCATAAATGGGTCCAGGGGCGAAGGACTTCGGGAAGTCCTCGCCCCCGACTTCAAAGACCCGAGTCGAAGGCGCGCGCGGGTGTCGGCGTGCGCCTTTGAGGCGATGCACGTGGTGCACAGTAGATATCCCCTGACTAGATACTCCCTGAGGAGGAGTTTGATTGTATGAAGTGTAGTGATCCAGTGTTCATAAATCGTGTTCGAAAATACAAAAATCGCTGTTCACGCGTCTCAAGTCAAGACGCTAGTAACTTATAAAATAGTAACATCATAATAATATCACCTGCTCCCTCTAGGTAGCGCCAGTACGAAGGCTCGTCAGTTCGAGGAGCTAAAGTCCGAGATAATGGAGCTGATCTCTTCGGCGCCCGGCGGCGTCTGGTGCACGGACCTCATCCGACTCTACAGGTACTTGACTAGCCCTCGCTCGACTGGTACTTACGTCGTAACATTTACACGATCATGATCATTCCGTGCCAGTAACTAATGACTAAACGGGAACGTGTCGTGGCAGGGAGCGCTTCGAGCGCGAGCTGAACTTCAAGCGGTTCGGGTACAACAGCATCCTCAGCGTGGCGTGCGCGCTGGAGCCCGCCCTCAGCATCGCGCGCCCCGACCCCACCGGCGACTGGCTGCTGGCGTCGCCCGCCGCGCCCGCGCCCGCGCCCGCGCCCGCGCCCGCGCCCCGCCCGCGCCCGCAGCCGCGCGCGCCCGCGCCCGACCCCGACGACGCCTTGCCGGGCATCGACTTTGTGAGCATCGTACTAACACTGCATGAGATGGACGCTTCCATGTTAACGGACGGCTTCACGGCTTGTCCTACCTGCCAGGTTTCTGTTTGAATAGTGACATGAATGCCTTTATTGAACTTTGTCTCGATTCTCGAGTCAATAAAATAAAGTATGGGTTTGTATTGTATTAATTAGTTGACCGGGTATTGCTCGGTGTTTTATTTTTAACATAACATCACGCCTTTTATCCTCGAAGGGGTAGGCAGAGGTGCACATTATGCCACTGTACAATGTAACACCCACTTTTCACTATTTATGTTATGAGTCCCATGTAATAGGGGGCGAGCCTATTGCCATATACCGGGCACAGTTCCAGACTCCGTGCTACTACTGAGAATTTTTAAAATACCCAGTAATACTGGTTTATTCCACTTTGTTCACCTGGGTGATTTCACCTAGGTGAACAAAGTAGACTTTTTGGAGTCCTCAATTCGCCCCCGAAACGCCCTGAATACAAAACAAGAAAAATATGAAATATACATATACAGGGGATGTCTCCGATTCTTAACAGTTTTAAAGTTATAATGAGTTTTAGTTTTATTCAGTGATTTTCCAATATGCTTAGAAGGGATCTCATAAACAAAAAGCTATCGGAAGTATAAATGTAATTTTTAGTTTTAGACTTCCTACAATAGTGCACCTTTCTTATCGCCATACTTTTGCTCAGTAAAACGACATGCACTTAATAAAAAAACCGCTTCAAATGTAAAGTTTTCGATCCGTGAAAATTGATTTAATTTTCAAGTGACTTTCGTGAAGCAAACCAACTGCAAGTCGAGCCACTGAAGCAGATTACTTGGACGCGAGAACCACGAGGATATTCTCAATAGTTACGGACTTAGAGAATTTCGTTTACGAACGCGTGTAAAATAGCAACTTAATTTCAATATGTTTTGGGCTTTAAAAATATTTTCCCGCTCACTACAGTTGCCCCAGAATATAACACCAAATCTCACATTAGACACTACCAAGCCATGACAAGGTGGTGCATCAATGTGGTGCATCAATGTTTACTGTGTACAATGAAAGATTGTGCAGTACCTACGTATGCCGTTGAAGCTAGTTCTTTGCAAATTTCTGCTTGTGGTTTCTATTTTCTATAGTAGGATGGTTATCATTTCTAAATGTAAATCATGTCTAAAAATTTGACCGTTTTTGCTTCGTCGACTATTTGACCATTATAATCTCGGATTTTAGCTTTAGTTTTATTATATTGATTAATAGGTTATTATTATTGGGCCAGTTGATTATTGTTTTTAACGCATTATTAACGACTATTTCGTTCTTCACTTTGTTAATAAAATTATTTATAGCTGTACTGTCGTCGGTAAACAATACCTTTGGACTAGAAACTTGACGAGGCAGATCGTTTATACAGGGTGTCTCACGGCAGAGTTAGGATTTTAAATTTGAATATTTTAAAAACCGTTGCAAGAAAGCGCGGGGGAGGAACGCAGTAGCTTCGTCATTCGTGCGGATTCGTTAGTCACGATGTCGCAGTGGTCGGGTGAGCACCGCGCGTTCCCTATAGAAGCGTTTTTGAAAGGTGGAAAATCGTACGTCGTGGCTCGAAGACAGTTTTGTTCTCACTACAATATCAGACGTTTACGCGATGGACCAAGCGAAAATTTGATTCGTAAATGGGTTATCAAGTTTCGAGCTACCGGTTCCGCTATAAATCAACCGCGTCCGGGCCCAAGCAGAACTTCAAGAACGGAAGAAACAATGAACGAAGTTGCAGCTAGCGTTCGACGTAATCCACGCTTGTCAATACGCAAAAGAGCGGCGGCTTTAAACGTCACCAAATCAACCGTAGAGCGGATTTTAAAACGTGATTTGAAATCCCATCCCTATAAAATATAGATAGTGCAGGAAATAAATGAAAATGACTACAATTTACGTAAAAGTTTTTGCGAGACAATCATTGAGAGATTTCGCACTTGGAATACTGTGTTTTGGAGTGATGAAGCAACAAACAAAATTGTCACTTTTGGTCAGAAGTCAATCCCAGACAAAAACATCAAAGACCGCTGCATAGCCCAAAAGTGACAGTGTGGTGTGCTCTTTCGGTCAATGGAATAATCGGGCTGTATTTTTTTGAAAATGCGACAGGTGCTGCGATAACTGTTTCTGGTGAGGCTTATCGGCAAATGATATCCAATTATTTTATACCCCAACTTCGAGAGCATCCAGCCTACAGCTCAAGAACGTGGTTTCAGCAGGATGGAGCCACTTGCCACACTGCAAGAGCCACTATGGACCAACTTCGTAAATTGATATCCCGCTTTGGTGATATTGCGTGGCCTCCGCGATCACCAGATTTGACCCCCATGGACTTTTTCCTATGTATGGGTACCTTAAGAGTAAAGTTTACGTCAATACTCCGAGGAATATCGCTGAGCTAAAACAAAATATCCAACAAGAAATACGCGACATCGAGCCGGCTATGCTTAGGCGCGTTATGCAAAATGCGATGAATCGATTCCGTGAGTGCATGCTACGAAATGGAAGACATCTGGAAGATGTAATCTTTAAAAAATAAAATGCGCATTATAGTTCAATAGTTTTCAATAAAAATCTTTTCACAAAAATTGCAAATTGACTTTTATTTCATTTCAAAATCCTAACTCTGCCGTGAGACACCTTGTATAAAGTAAGAAGAGTAACGGTTTTTTTAGGGGGGAAAATCATCGAATGACTGCTCCCGCCTGGGTGAGGCGAGAGGGAGTGTCAGACTCTTACTGACTAAAAACCACTCCGTTCCTTCTCCTACACTTCGAGCCGGAGGTACTTACATGGTAACCCGTTAGGTTCTCCGCGACAAGAGTAACAGTCTAGGAACGCTTCCTTGGGGCACACAAAATTTGATGTGTCTATAGGAAGATAAATTGCTTAGATCTCATACGGACTGGCAACTTCTGTCACGTATTTACGATTGCTTAAATAAGATGCTATTAGATCAAGAGCATTTCCGCGTATGTCATATGCGTTTAGTTTTGACAAAAGCTTTTTATGATTAACATCATCAAAGGCTTTTGTCATGTTTGTTTAAATTGCACATACATGTGTTTATTGTTACAATTTCTCATCAATTCACTTAGAACAAAAACGAAAGTGACCGTTTTATTAACATCGGTGGTAAGTTGGAAGCGATCGCCCTGCAGGACCCGGACGTGTTCCCGGAGGACTGCATGAGCTACTCGGAGAGCATCCCGGCGCTGTCGCTGCACGACTGCGTGCCCGGCGCCATGCTCGAGGTCATCGTCGGCGAGGTCTACTCGCCCTCGCACTTCTGGCTCATCCGTCTCGGCCAGCACTACAACATCGCCATGGAGGACATGATGGACGACATGAAGTGAGTAGCGGGCGGGGCGGGCGGGGGCCGCGGGGCGCCGACTGACGGGCAGTGTGTGCAGGCGCTACTACAACGGCGCGGGCGCGGCGCGGGCGCTGGCGCGGGGCGCCGTGCGCGTCGGCCACTACTGCAGCTCGCTCTACGAGAACGACTGGCATCGCTCGCTCATCGTCAAGATCCTCGACAGCGACACCGTCAAGGTACTTCCTGGCCTCCCACTTTACCAAATTAACATTTATCGTTATATTACATAAGTACTACCTATTTCCCGCTACTTTACTCGCGTGAAACTTGATTATACAACAAAGTTTCAACTTTCAACGCTTATCTATTTACACTCTTATTAAGTCAAATTTCCAAAATTCCTGAAATACTTTTGTTGGGTCGATAACCGAAACCGTGAGGTAAATAGCTCAGTCATTTGGTAGTTCTACCTACAACGTCTTCTACCGGACCTTTTAAAACTTTTGAACTTCATAATCAATGGAATTGATATATCTGTGTTCGGCTATCTTCCTGGCTGGGCACTCTGCGTCTCCTGTCTTATGACTGTTAGGCTTGTTAAAGCGAGAGCATGTTAAACATTTAGAGATGTCGATCTTCTTCGTGCACACGGATGTCATGTGTCCTGTTTCTCCACAATGGCCACACACTGAGTGGAGCTCCCGGCATGTCTTTGCCGCGTGGCCATACTGCTGGCATTTATAGCAACGCGTTACTAACGTAAAGTCTCTGACAGGGCAAGACGTCCAGTTTATATAGAGTCTCTCTTGCGATATAAGCACTTTACGGATGTTGGCCGAAACTTCAATGATGTAATTACAAGTCGGCGCATCTTTTCTGCCAGATTTGTGGCTTAACTTCACTATCGTTAGGAAAGACTCTATAGTCAACTCTTGGACCTTACCAGCTAGGTTTTGCTCGAATATGCACCTGAGGACATCAGCATCGGATAAAGTAGATCAGTATCGGAGAAAGTAAATTATTATTTATTATAATTATATAACACTTTATGTACAACTGTATACAATGGCGTACTTAATGCCGAATGGCATTCTCTACCAGCCAACCATAGGGTGATGCAGAGAAGTGTTACAGTAGGTTTTAAAAGAAGTTGGCATCTATTGAAAAAAAAACAAACGAGGGTGATAAATGTACGTACATATAAAGGTATCCTAGTACATAAACTACATACCAATACTACATACTAATATGAAACATAAATATAATATGTAAATAATTAAATAATTATCTATATTGTATATAAAGTACATTTTTAAGAGCATTTATATTTCCTCATCACGTGAAAGTAGAACGAGCAGCAGATTATTGGCGATGCAGTTGTTCAGATTCATTGCAAGTATTTTCGTTTAAAAATAACAAGTATGACATAAAGATGGGTGCCCAAGACGAAATCTTCTATATGCGGATCATCAAAAACAGCTCAGGGCTGGAGATAATGGAAAGTTCGTAAAGTGTGTATCACAAACACACGAGTATGAGGCCTATACATTACAAAACTAGCTGACCCGCACCCACTTCGTTGGGCGGAAAATAGCCTGTCACTGTTCATCCTTTTATTTAACTATCTCCACTTAAAAAAAAACATCAATTCGTCACTCTGTTTTGCCGCGAAAGATGGACAAACGACATCATCATTATCCACAGGCTGCATAGATTGTCTTTATGACGAAGTTAAAGTTGTTAATGATGAAAATATTTAAATGTAATACTAAGTTTTCGCTTCACTTCTGACGGGAGTCCCGAAGTGTAACCCTGTTGTTTTAGGATAGATAAATAAAGCGATTATTCTAGAGCGATTATTCTCTATAAACAACATTGGACGTTAAATTTTCTGGTAACAAAATATACTGATGGTCGGGCGTCGGGAGCCCCGACCCGTTGACAGGGCAACGTAAAGTTGCTCATGCGTAAAACATTCTTTTCGTAAATCAATTCCTACTAATTTGAATGTTTGGCCCTGGGATTTGTTTATCGTTAGTGCGAAAGAAATTTTTACTGGAAATTGGAGCCTTTTGAAGGGTATAGGCAAATCAGTAGGAAACATGGGTATTCTGGCGGCATCTTTTTTTATCCCCGGATGTCCAACTACATCTTCACCACGCCTCCTTCTAGTGAATTTATTATTTGCCCATGTATAGTACTGCGGGACATCATGACACAGAAGAGTTTTTGCGAATTCATTACATTACATTTTATTACAGAGAGCAAAAAATGCCAGTAATGTGGTATTGCGTGGGTTTTGGACAACTTGATGAGCTGTCCCTGGTGTAAAATACACCCTTTGACCGTTCTCTAGATGAACAGCCAAATGCACTACAGTAGGATACCGGTCGTGAATGGGAAATTCAAATAAGCGCCAGACAGCTTCAGATGTGCTTATGTACCTGCCACTTAAATGGTTTTCGACCTCATCGTGTGGGTTCCTAAGGCTAAAAGTTGCTTTATGGGCTTGGACAGAGTGGCAATATTCCACGTTTATATAAGCGTTAAAAGTCTTACATAGTAGCGGGGAGTATGGAACCATCCACCTATTATCTATCGTCACCATGTTGCCCCTAATTTGTAGCGTAGTACTCCGACCGCCATTTTCTGTATTGTGCCTACGATAAACTAAATACCCATCCTCTCCGGTTTGAGTATCGTTCATGAAACGGTGAGGGTATTTTTTGTGCAGACACCGTTCTTCATGCATGGTGCAGCTAAATTATGTTCTCCGCGGCGTCCATGTACCATATTTCTAGTTATAATATTGTGTAGTACCGGATCAATTTCTTGATCGGGTAGCTCCGCAACTATGAGGCTGGCGATCTCGTCTGGTTGTATTTTACTTTCTAGCCGAAACAGCAAATGATAATGAGGTAAACCGCGCTTTTGCCATTCCACACTTGGCATATAATCGGTCGGGTCATATAGAGTACAGGCGAGAGTAACGGGCGGCGTGTGCAGGTGCGGCACGTGGACTACGGCACGGTGGACACGGTGCGCGTGGCGGCGCTGCGGCCGCTGCGGCGCTGCTGGGCCGCGCTGCCGGCGCAGGCGGTGCGCGCGCGGCTGGCGGGCGCGCGGCCCTGCAGCGCGGGCCGCCGCTGGCCGCCGCCCGCCGCGCTGCACTTCCTGCGCCTGGTGCAGGACACGCGCTTCGTGGCCAACGTCGTGGCGCGGGACCTGCAGGTACACTCCCGCTGGACCATGACACATCACCGTCTTGCAAACGACGATGCCCAAGCATGTGTACAGCAATGACCCTGAATTGATTCAAATACTGTATGTGTGGCGAGGTACACACAGTACATCCCGAATTCAATAATTATTAAGTCATAGTGATGCAACGTGTCATAACTTTGACGACGATATTCACGAATGCGATAGATTAGTATCGATTTAGTTTGTATAAATTGTTGTTGTTAGAATAGCCATTTCTTCATCCTAGAAAAAAATTTTAGACAATTTTCAGACCGTCAATTTTGATTTCGTAGGATAAAACTTATTAATTTTGATAAAAAATAATCTTAATTTTTTTAGTTTTACCAAAATCACTTTAACGAAGTCATGAGATCTATGGCGAGTTGAATTTTATTAAAAAAAATAAAAGGTATCCTATGTGTTATTCTAGATTAGACCATCTATCCATGTTCCAAATTTCATCCCGATCGCTTCAGCCGTTATGACGTGATTGAGTAACAAACATACACACACACACACAAACTTTCGCATTTATAATAAGTATTAGTAAGATAGCAAACGATGACACGTTGTGAGACATGATTGTGAGGCATTTTATTCAGAACGTAATAATTAATTTACCTTTTTTTAATTTAAAATTTTATATTCATTTTTATGATGTTGATTTTATGTGTGCGAATATTTGTTTATGAATGATTTTAATCGACTCTGGGTTCTTTTTGGACATTCGCCTTTTGTTAGACGTGTGAGTGGCATGCACGGTTTATTTTTACGTTTGTACGTGCAGGAGGAGCTGCTGGAGGTGCTGCTCATTGACACGTCCGCGGCCGACGACCGCTGCGTCAGCGCCGCGCTCGTGCGCGCCGGCCACGCCGACCCGCGCGCCGACTCCGCGCTGCGGGTGAGTGCCAGCCTGTCCGACCTGTCCGCGTCCGCGTCCGACGCCGCGCCGCCGCGCCGCCTGGCCACGTGGGACGCCGAGCGCGCGCCCCCGCCCGCGCGCCCGCCCGCCCCGCGCCTGCTGCGCCTGCTGGAGCTGCGCCGCCTGCACGCGCAGCCCGCGCCCGCCAGCCCGCGCTGCCACCGCCTGGCCAAGCTGGCGCCTTGAGTCTGACTCTGAACCGTCTTTTTGTCCTATTTCAACCTTCGCGTTTGACGTCTCTGAGTTAATGTAATATTAGTAAAAGAAAGTAGTCCGATTAATAAACAGAATTCAGACATAATAATACCCATAGTATATTGTAGTTTTACCCGTTGTGGCACCCCGGATTGCCAAGTTGGTGCGTTACATGTGTTCGTGTCCACCGCTGCGCTCGAACCTCGGGGAAGGGTTCCGTCGAACGCGTCCTCGAGATTCGCGCCCAGTATTGTAACGCGCTCACGTGGCTGCGTACTTGCAGACGGCGGAATGCTACCTGTACCCGAGGTTCGAGGCGCTGGAAAACGCCGATACCCCCAATTTGGCCGAGATCTGCGCCTACCTGCGCGACGGCATCGCGCTCGACTACGTGGAAGCCTACCGGCGCCACGTGCCCATGTGCCTGCCGCCACTCGCGCCCGCGCCCGCCCTCGCCCCCGCCCTCGCCCGCGCCCCCGCACCCGCCCGCGCTACCCCAAGCTCCGCCGCTTCCGCGAGCGCCGCACAAGTAACTTCGCCGGCCTTCTCCCCGCCTACCGCATCCTCGTCTAACTCTTCCCCGCCTAACTCATCCCCACCGACTTCATCCCTATCTACCTCATCCCCGCCTGCCGCATCCTCGCCTGACGCCTCCCCGCCTGCCGCTCCGTCGCCTGCAGCGCCCTCAATTGTCTCGGCGACCACTGTACAGGTCTCCTCTCCCCCTCCCTCCCCGGTACCGGTCCGTGCGGCGACACCGACGCCCCCGCCTGCTTCGGCTTCGGGTTCCCCGCCGCCTGCGCCGCCATCGGTGCTGCGTACTGGCATTCCACTGCTGTGGCCCGAGCCCGGGCCGTTGCCGGCGCCTGGCTTCAGCTGGGGCGGCGGGGGCGGGGGCGGGGGCGGGGGCGCGGTGCTGAGCGTGGTGGAGTGCGCCACCTACAGCCGCCTAGCTAGCGTCAATCCTGAGGCAGCGCGCTGGTACATGGCGGGCGCGCTGGGTCGCGCGCTAGGCACACCCCCGCCCGCGCCCACGCCCGCGCCGTGGGCCGCACCCATGCGCACGCCGTGGGCCGCACCCCCGCCCGTGCCCTGGGCACCCTGGGCACCGCCCGCGCCCTGGGCCACGCCGCCGCCCGCGCCGTGGGCCGCGCGACCGCCCGCGTGCGGCCCGCCGCCATCGTTGCTGGGGCCGCCGCCCGGCTTCGGTGCCTAGCGGCCTGCCAGCTCGACTCGCCGCTCTACCTCGATGATGACCTTATTGTTCTGTAATGTTTCGTTAACGGACTTGTTGTTTTAGTATTGTAAGGAGACTATATAGTATAGTAATTGATATTATCCTAAGTGCTATTGTGATATTACCCTCGGACTGTTTTGACGAAAGCGATGCTCACAGCGATGTCGATATAATCATTGTTTCTAAATAATTACCAATCTTCCGATCAGTTCCGGCGCGCAGACTGCAGACTACTGTTGTTGCCTGTCGCCGGTCGCGTAATACCTTTGCTGTGGAATACTTAACTGTGTTTGTATTTCATGTGAAATTCAGTGATTTTATTGACATTTATTTGATTGACCGATAATGTTTGATTATTTTTGTAAGTCAACACAGCTCCAATACGTTATTTGTCGATCATTCGATAGATTACAAGTTTGACTACTGCGTAATCCCCACAAAATAAGAAGCCAACTTTGACGTGTGTCTACATGCCCGTATTACTTATTATGAACATTCACGTAAAAAATTTATAACAGCACTCTCTTATAAAGAGTATCATTAATTATTAATTTTATAATTATAATATACTAAAATTGTTTTCATATTATACAAACGTACAATTAAATAGTTTGTGTATCTAATCAGTTATTAACATTATTAAATAAAACTTTTTCAAACACTTTAAATCGCAGAAAGCCCGACTATAATTATTATTATGTTTTCTTTTCAAATTATTTAAGTCGCAATGTCTCAACGACCGATTATAAAAAGCTACCGACTTTATTTACCTCTCACTGTACTGTACGTAATTGGTATTTGCGACTGTCAAAGTTGACTTATTTTGTGACATAGACTTATTAAGAATTTTGTGATTGTTTCCATGAAAGATGGATCGAGTCTAGTTATTAATTAAAACAATGTCAAAGGAACACATTTGTAAAAATATTTTTGCTATTAAATAGTTTGTCTTTACATCCTACTTATACAAGTTTGTGGTTTTTCTTTATTTCATCCGACTTCCAAAAAAGTAGAAGGTTCTTAATTCGCCTGTATGGTTTTTTTTTGTTTATGATCCGCAATTACTCCGTCGTTTGTGGACGGATTTTGGTGATTTTTTTTGTTAGAAAGGTCATACTCTCGGTTGGTACTCAAAGTCAAAGCATTTATTTCGATTAATTCTCAATAGGCATTTTTGAAACGTCAAAATTGAATTCTACGTCCGGCCGTCTGTCAGTGAAGCTAGGCGTCATTTCCACCAGGTCAGGATGTGATGGTGGGGTCCCATGGAATCTACACAAGATAAAAAAGTCAAAACTAAAAAGAAAAAAATAACTATCTTTAGTAGGTACTGCTAGACTACCCACCCATTGATAGGTTAGAAGTCGGCGCCATAAGTTCCATAGAAAATTATTCATTAAAACCTTAATAGATACCTAATTTACAATTTTCTGGCCATTAAGTTACCTATATCATTATGATATGAGCTTATGGCACCGACTTGTCGCGGAGAACCTACGGGTAACCGGGGCTCCGGCTCGACGTGCAGGAGAAGGAACGGGGTGGTTTTAAGTCAGTAAGAGTCTGACACTCCCTCCCGCCTCACCCAGGCGGGAACAACCATTCGATGATGTTCCCCCTTAAAAAGAAATGGCAGCGACTTCTAACCTATCAGTGGGTACCTACCTAACCTATCAGTAGATAGGTTCTAATGATAGGTAGTTATTTTTTCTTTTCAGTTTTGACTTTTTGTTTGTTATTAGTTTTTGGTTTTTTGAAGTTGGTTTTTAAACGCAGTTTTTATTTTATTATTTTATCATTTTCAGTGTAAAGCTACATAGATCCGTTTTGTCACTTATAATCTGCATCGGTGCAAAGTTCTAATCAATACAAATTATACAAGCCCAAACACAAGGTAGTTACTGTATACCGTTGAGGAGTTCCCTTAACAATTACATTTCTTCATCATCAGACCCTTAATGACCGCCCCACTCTATCTAGGTGTAAAGTCCTCATCAATACAAATTAATGAAGCCTAAACACAAAGTAGTTACCTTCTGTATACCGTTGAGGAGTTCCCTTAACAATTATACTTCTTCTGTTTAAAAATCTTTATTGAAAAACATAATATACGCAATACTTGCCCCTAGAATTTTCGAAAGTTCCCCTCGGTTTCTCTAGGATCCCATCATCAGATCCCTATATCATGGAAATGGGATCATCTCGACAGTAAATACTTTCAAACAAAACAAGAATTTTTGAAATCAGTTCACAAATGGCGGGGTAATGCACGCACAAACAAAAATCTTCCTAAAGTTAATGCATTTTTTTTATTTCTTTTGTTTTTATGGCATTAGCCGGTGAACGAGCAGACGGATCACATGGTAAGCGATCGGCGTTGCCCTTGGACACCTGGAACACCCGAGGCGTTACAAGTGCGTTACCGGCCTTTTGGGGATTAGGAGTTTGAGGATCGTTGGGGATTCAGGGATTGGCGAGATTGAGGAAGGGGAGGGTAATTGGGCCTCCGGTAACCTCACTCACACGACGAAACACAACGCAAGAGTTGCTTCACGTCGGTTTTCTGTGAGGCCGTGGTATCACTCTGGTCGAGCCGGCCCATTCGTGCCAAAGCATGGCTCTCCCACACTTAATATGGTCCATCTTCTACTAACTTCTTTGCATAGGTACTTACTGAGTTTTGTTCTGTAGAGTTTCGGAATGCAAAAACTTCCGCGTAAGTAGGTGATGATAAAATACATCAATTCTATTTGTGCAAGTCGTTGTGTGTAATTCTTAAATCAATCACTTTAAATTTTATTAAAACGTCTCAAATGTTTACACTTTAAGATCTTTTTACTCATCCCCATAAGAAACCGCTTTGTTCGTTTATTAGAATATGACGTCATAGGTCGGAGAGTTCACGTGACTGTGACGGTCGGAGAGTGGTCAGTGTTATTGAGGGAGGGAGATAACTATTACCTGATATTCTTAACCATAACAAGTGCCCTAATAAAAATAATTATTCTCCTTTTAATGTGTTTTATTGGAAAAATCTATCTTTTATACACTTCTGGACCATAGAGCTACACGGAGGTACGCCGGTGGCCTGTGTTGCTCTATGTTCCGGACACATCTATCGGCCCACCTTAGATTTTAAGTTTTAATGGCCCCTACCGAAATATAATTGCTAGATTGAACAAAAACTGTTGATGCAGTTTTAAACCTGATACATTTTACCACCTTTTTCGATCGTATTGTTTTAAATTTGAATTCAGAAAACCATACGACATGGAGTTATGCCCAACAAATCGGATATGCGCCTTGCGGCAATTGATTTTTGAATAAAAAACATGTTTTATCAAATAAAACATGTTTTTATTTAAACTGGCAACTGGCTGACGGGCCCTAACACGTCTTTTTAGCTCGTCCCACATGTGCTCAATGGGGTTCATGTCTGGGCTTCTGGCTGGCCAGTCCATAACTGTGATGTTCACATCCCGAAGATATTCCCTGACGATGCCGGCCGCATGGGCTCTTGCATTATCTTGCATAAAAAGGAAATTCGTACCCACATAGTCCGCGTATGGTACATATGTACCTAACGCGTGAGGTTCTAAGCACTCACGAATGTACCTTTCAGCATTTAATGTTGGCAGCGGCAGCCGTGGTACTGTAACAACCTCAAGATGAGTTTTGCCGCTCGCGAATATACGGCCCCAGACAGTCCATGAGCCACCGCCATAAGCAACCCTCTCTTCAAAGCACCATTGTTCGAAACGCTCTCCCTTACGTCGGTAGACCTTCTTCCTTCCATCATTGCCATGTAACACAATTTTAGACTCATCAGAAAAGAGTACACGGCTCCAATCTTGCTGTGTCCAATTTAAATGACTTGTGCGAAATAAAAGCGCGCTGTTTGGTGGGCTCGCGTTAGTTTGGGCCACAAAAATATTCTTTATTATATCTGTGGTTTGGGCCCATTAGCTGGCTTCTGTGGTACCACATCGCGTTCTTTTAACCTTCTCCGAACAGTTCGAGCACTCACAGCCACTCCGTGGAAATCGCGAAGTTGGTTTTGTATCTCAATGGAGGTAAGATGACGATGTCTCAAGCTGGTCGTCACGATGAATCGATCCTGCCTTTCAGTTGTGACCCGAGATCGTGGCCTTCCTTGGCGACGAACTAAGCCGCCAGTCTCTAGGTACCTTCGATAAACATTTCGGACCGTATATCGACTTCAATTAAGTTGAGCACTCATGTTTCTTTGGCTGTGTCCGGCCTGAATAAATGCCACAGCTTGGGCGGCGACTTCAGGTGAAGTATCCATAGATTATTGATAGAACCTCACCTTAATGTTAAGAATAGGTAAGTAATGTTTGTTGCAAAACTAAAGATATCAATCACTTTTTCAAGAATTAAATCCAAGTAAACCAATAAAACCAAGTTTTCTTATTATTCGATTGTTTGATATCAACAAACAGGCTCCAAATTGTCTTTTGTTTCTTTAAATTCTGTGTTCGAAATTCAAAAAAAGACTATTGAATGAAATTGTGAATGTGCCAGGTTCAAAACTGCATAAAAACCTTTTGCTCGACCTAATATAAAATTTTAGCTAGGACCAAACGAAACTGAAAATACAAGGTGGGCCTATAGATGTGTCCAGAAGTGTATATTTTTTATATTATGAAGATGTTAAAATTATTTAATACACAATAAAAAAAGCCTTTTATTTCTAAACAGAAGGTAAGTATTTACTAATTATAGTATTAACTACTTGATTATTAATAATGAATTGTAAAAAAATTAACGTGAAAGTAACATAAAATAAAGTAACTAAAAATAAAACTTACAAAGTAACTTAAATTATTAAAAGTATAAAAAGTATTAAAAAATTTAAAGTATTAAAAAAGTACAATAGAAAAGTACCTAATTATAATTTTGAATGGAAAGTAATGACCAGTCTTCGACTTACGACATTTAATACATACCTACATATT